CCCATACACAAAGCTCTCTCTTATACTCACCTTCAATCTAAACCAATGTTTTATCAACATTTTGAGTACTGAAGGAGAACTAGCTATCTATCTTGAAGCTTCTCAAGATCTCAGATGGAACAATGCAATGAATGAAGAAATTGCAGCTTTGATTGAAAATGAAACATGGGATATTGTAGAACTTCCTGCTAACAAGAAGCCTATTGGGAATAAGTGGGTTTACAGAATCAAACTAAAGGGATAATTGGAGAATTGGAAAGGTTTAAGGCTAGACTTGTGGCAAAGGGTTATACACAAGTGTATGAAATAAACTAGTGTGATACCTTCTTGCCAATGGCAAAGATGGCTTCAGTGAAAGCACTCATTTCAGTAGCAGCAGTAAAGGGATGACATTTGCGTCAAATGGATGTAAGCAATGCCTTCCTCAATGGTGATCTCACTAAGGAAGTGTATATGGTGTTGCCACAAGGTATGGATCAAGTGCCTAAGTACAAATGGAAGGTATGCCGTTTGAAGAAATCTATTTACAGGGAGATTTTAATATAAAAGATCTTGGAGAGTTACGTTATTTCCTTGGCTTGTAAGTAACACGAGGCAATCAAGGACTTACAATATCTCAAAGGAAATATTGTTTGGATGTACTCACAGAAGCAGGTTTTGAAAGTTGCAAACCTGCAGCAACACCTATGTTTGTTAAGGAGTTGCTGTCCTCGGAAGGAAGAACACCCTTGGAAGACATTAGTGGTTACAAGCATCTGGTAGGTCAACTACAGTATCTATCCACTAGCAGACCCGACATCACATTTTTTTTTCTTCAACATCTTTGTCAATTTCAGGACAAACCAACGACATTGCACCTTCAAGCTTTAGAACGTGTTCTGCAATATTTGAAGTTGTCACCAGGTCAAGGATTACTATATTCATGTGAATCTAGAATGCAATTGAGAGGACACAACGATTCTGACAGGGGTACCAGTCCTGACTCAAGGAAATTCATCACTGGTTATTTTACATTCATTGGATCAGGTTTGATCAGTTGGAAAAGTAAGAAGCAGAGCACGGTTTCACATTCTTCCTTAGAAGCATAGTACATAGCACTAGCTAGTCTCAGCTGTGAATTGCAATGGTTGGTCAGATTATTATAAGGATTTGGAGTTTCACATCAACAATCAGTTCAAGTTTATTATGACAATTAATCGCCAATCCATATTGTGGAAAATCCGGTCTTCCATGAGAGGACAAAACACATAGAAGTGGATTGCCATGTCATTAGGGAACGAGTAATGTCAGGTTTGATCTCTTTTCACTATGTTCCAAAAAAATTTCAATTGGCAGACATATTCATAAACAGTTTGTCAATTGAACGATTCTCTATGCTAATGTCCAAGCTGGGAGTATACAACCTATACTCGCCATCTTGTGGGAGGATGAAAAGGAGTGAAGATGATATGAAAACAACTCCTGCATTAGTTGCAAATCTTCTCGGATAGGGTTGGGTCGGTTTAATCATGTATGGGTTGAGACCAAGGTTTTGGATTAGTCACGTGTCAGTTTAAGTACAAATTTTGGTGATATGGTATTGTAATGTGAAAAATATGAATGGAAAGTGGATGAAGACTAACGAAAGTAGTAATTATATAATTACTACGAACGTAGTAGATCAGTACGACTCTCATTTATCAAGTAATTCCCCATTTATCATACCTTAAGTCACATTAATAGGCATATCCCAAAATCATTCCCTGAATCTATAAAATTGCGAAAAACTATAGATACAAGGTACATATTTTATATTTATGTGCTAATGAAGTAATTCGAATATGAAATTTCCATATTCAAAACTATTGATATTGACACTAGGCCGAAGCCCTACCCTCATTCACAATATACATATTTTATACTAGCATTTATCCTATCTACATCTTCTTATTTCTTTCCCTTTGTACCCTTGTTTCCTTCCCACGCAACGCAAGCCCATAAACTCAATCACGAGCTCAATGTTATTGTACTAATAATTTCCACATCCCACAACGGAGAAGGCCATTGCTATTAAGTTTGTATGATAAATTCCTCTCTAACGCCGTTACTACCCTACCATCGACCAATTCCCTTTTTAAGGGTGAACAACTTGTTTTTCTGAAACAAGTATTGTTGGCAGTTGCTGCTCTAGTCGATCACGACAACACCTCCTTTTATTGATGTAGGTTTTCGGAATTTTAAGACACTTTGTGGGTTAATGAGAAAAGGCATTACTTCAAGAAATGCACCAATGAAGGTATATTTGATTTCAATTTTAGCTATGCCCAATATATTTATGAGGTATATATGTGCGTTCTCAAAACATAGAGCACTGCTATTACTATAAAGCTCATATAGGTATTTCTAACCTCATTGCCATTGGAATCCATAATTGAGAAAATTACATCAAACCCGAATATTATATACATATAGTATCCATGCTTGAAGCAAATGGCCTATTAGCTCAGCTGGTTAGAGCGTCGTGCTAATAACGCGAAGGTCACAGGTTCGAGACCTGCATGGGCCATTTTTGGCTTATGACATTTTGCATTTCTTTTTCCCTGGATACAGGTTCGAGACCTGCATGGGCCATTTTTGGCTTATGACATTTTCCATTTCTTTTTCCCTGGATACAGTAGTGTACTTCAAGTTGTATATAGTGATTATGTTTTCTAGCGAAAAAACTTACGTTAAACGTGATTGATTGCACCTTTGCCTTATAACCAAACGATTTGATTTCTAAACACGGTTCACCACAAAGTTTGAACAAGGGTGTCTGATTGATGGTTTTCTAGCTGAAACTAAATTACATTACTCCTACTCCTATGGAGGTTCAACGAGAGCTCCAAACTACGACTATGGCTACGTTTGCAAAGAAAAGATAATTAAAAACTTGGCATAGGCATAAGTTTTTAGGTTGAGGAAACCTCCTCTAGGTCGACCCTTCCTCCTATTTATAGCCATGGGGAGATAACTGTCGTAGAAAACCGCCTCTTGGATAATTCTCAAAAAGAACCACTCCCTGCTTCCTTAGAAGTGGTGGTTGCTCCTTCAACCGCCTAGGGGCCTCTCTTGGTACTATCGTGGGTCTTGGTGTGTAGCTTCCCTCGTCTGGTCTTGTTCCAAATCTCGTGTCCTTGTGATCTCGTGCCATGCCAGTCTTGTGATGAGCATGTGGTGCCTTTCAAAGAGGTCGTGGTCTTCTTGCCTCACGACCATGAACTTCTTACTCATGTCCATGGCCTTCTTGTCTTGTGGCCATATAGTTGTTATTCATGGCCATGACCCTTCTGTCTCAGCACTATGGACCTCTTGGGACATAGTCGCATGACTAGTGATATAATGCTCCACGACCACGTCATTCTCACTCACGCGCACGCCCACGCCCTTTCTCGCAACACAGCCATGGACCTCGTAATCATTCCCATGACCCCTCTCGCGAGACCCCGATGGCCTTTCCTGAGCTAGTATATTTTTGGCCTTTTGGCATTGGTCATGAGCAAGGGCGTAGCCAGGATTTTGTCGAGGGTGAGTCCATTTAGAAAAAATACATACGATAAAATAATTTTGTTAGCTTTCTAAATCGTTCATGATATAATTTTATATTTGCAAAAACTTGGTAAATTAAATTATATGTCAAAACCATCAAGAATATCACCATATATGTATCAAACAATTATTTATTATTTAGTTAGACATTTGCTTTTGAATCGTGTTCTTCGTCAAGACCGTTTAGTATCATTAACTCGAGTTGTTAGGAAAGATTTAATAATGAATCTAATACTATTTAGTATTTACTAAGACTTTCCTGCTTACTACAACCAACTTATGCGTGCTCAAAGTTTACGTAAATCCGAATATCATGTGTTTAACAAATGGGGTTACAAAGATTTGAACAAATGATATCTCGGTCAATCATTCTCAATTAGAAGTGCCCTAAATTTCATTCTCCACCAACTATTATACTAATTTACTCATTTTCGTCCATAGAAACCCCTGTTACAATCTCCCTACCCCTGATTGAAATAAAATTATTTTTACAAATGAATTATGATTTGGTGGAAATTTATTGTAAATATTGAATACATACATCTTCAATTTTGGTCGAATCATATACATCATTATCATTTGTACATAGCTCGTTATAAATACATTGAATATGTCAACGCTCGTTATAAATCATACATCAAATATTTCAAAGGTCTACCAATTTCATTTAAATACGTATTATTTTTCATACCCGATTAACAATTGTACATAATTGACCATTTTCTAACCCGAGCCAGGGTGGGTCCCGGGACCCACCCTCTAACTCTCTCCCTCCGCCCCTGGTCATGAGGCTTGATTTTATGGCATGGCCTCTTCATTCAATGCCATGGACGCATCTCAAGTCTGTAACGTCCCGACCTTTTTCGAAAATCAAACCACAATTCAAACCCAAAAACCGGTTACTTCGGAGCAGCCAAACCATTTTTTTTTAAATAAACAATCTGACATTATATTAGGAAGTTCAAACGAAAAGCCCTAACACTTGGGCAATCAAAATCCAAATACTTAAACGACTTAACCCAACATCTTGAACCTTGAATCTCCAGTACATATACTCATAATCATAATCATAAAATAACTTTCAAGTTTTAACTCCAACCCTTCACCCAGCTTCTTGACTTCTCACTAGTACTGGCACGGCCGGTCACCTCATCTTACTTCTTCTCGGGATGCACTTCCGCTAACCCAACCTCAACCTGGTGAGTGAGAAGGGGTCAGTCTCGTCGTTACTTTCTAAGGTCTCTGCACTTAGAAATTTCCTTACTAAAACACGTTATTAGCGTTTCCTTTCCTTAGTTGAAAGTCATTCTCACTTTCATCCTTCACAACTCATTTCAACTTTAACTCATAGAAGTTCTCAACTTTTAACCTTAAATCTTAGAAGTTCTCTACTACTACCTTAACTTATATACTTATTACTGGGAAATCACCGCGTTACGTATCGCCGTCCGGTGTCCCTATCCTCGAGGCAATGGTACTGCGTTACGTATCGCCGTCCAGTCCATGCCCGGTCAACTACTGCGTTACGTATCACCGTCCAGTAGTGACCCGACCATCTACCGCGTCCAGTAGTGGCCCAACTGCCCGGGGGTTCAATTACCATCATCCATACATCACAAACACACACATACATAGCACAACGCGTGCCTCCACTTTAAGTAGGCGGTGGGATGCCTCACACACATAATCGCGCTTACTTGAAAATTGAATAACATAACTGAATTAAATAGGCATAAACTAAAAGACCTCGACGGAGATTTTACCCCCTTTACACTCACCTTATAAATGGTTGCACTCCGCAGTCGATATGAACTCCTTAATCCTCCAAGCCATGCTCATGCTAGTTTCCCGTGATTTGCATGCTTCACAACCTACGTAATATCCCATGATCAATTTCCGATTTCGATAGCATCCCTCCTCCTACCTCTTAAAACTCTTCATGTATATTTCCTCAAATTTCTACAATTTACCAACAATCCCTTCACGATCCTTACTATCAATCATGAATTAAGTAATTAGAAGCAAAGCTCCCTTGACTATTCGATTCACTCCCTAAGAATTAACAGATGGACACTTGAAAGTCATAGCCACATGATCTTTCCATTATGCACAAGAACTAGATAGCTTTATCAAATTGATTATTGTGAAAGAATCCAACCAACTCCATCACCACTTTTCATAACCCAACACTACATCCACTAAAGGACGATTAACCCACCAACCTTCCCAAGGTTAATTCTCAGTTCACGGAAGGAAAAATAAATATATATATATCAAAATATTATGTTTCCCAATTCTTTTTTATACTCCAACCCTTCCCATTATCTTCATAATCCTTGCACGCACATATGGACAAGGTAGATAACTGCTTACCTCATCTTCCTCCCTGCACTACTTCTCAGCAACGATGACACATGAACCTGGCATGGAGCGGCAATGATGATTTTTGGAGGCTGCTGGTCGGGTGCCGCCTTACTTCCTTTAGATCGAGGGTCTCTCCCTCTCTATTGGACACTCCCTATCTCCCTTTTGCGGCGCCTCTGGTTTCCATGAAACCCTCTGAGAGCCGAGAGTTGTAAGGAAAATGAAAAGGCATCTAGGGGTTATGGGCTGCAAGGGTTTTATTAGTTTTTAGGTTGAGGCGAGAGGGGGTAGCGGGTCTAGGGTTTAAGTGGTTCAAGGGTATTTTGGGAATTTCAACGGGTGAGTTTAATCTGAAACTCAATTAACGTATGTAACTTTTGTGTTTTATGACAAAACTCGACACCGCTTAAACCGAGAGTTTACATTTTAGTCCTCATCGATAATACGGTGGAACTTGACCCAAGGGTAAAATAGTCATTTTGACTTTTGGGAAGAGCGGGGTGTAACATTTCATCCACCCTTATAAAAATTTCGTCCCCGAAATTTGCTCGGAACTCATCTTTCCGTAACACCATTCTTGTACTTCCTTGCCCCGAAAATTTATTCTTGTTACATCCACTTCAATGGCGCCCTTTGCTCGCCTCGCATAATACTATTGCACTTCTTATACCTCTTCTTGACCATAACCTGTATTCTCACCTAGCTTTGTAGCATTCGCTTTGTTGGTCCAACTCATTCAGTAGTTCTTGTTGAACCTAAATCAAATTCGAGGTATCACAAAGTCCATGTCCCTTCCCGTGACACAACGTGGCTTTCTCATACTTAGTATTTTCAATCGTGTCTAGAGCCTCTTGTCTCGCATCCATAGCTCCTCTCGTGAGGCAACATGGACCTCTCGTACTTAAATTGTTTTTTTTTTTTGTATTTCTTTGAGATACGCTTCTAGTTGCATGGCCTCTTCATTCCCAGCCATGCCATGCACTTATTTCGCAACCTTGGTCCCGTGATTCGCGGTTGAGAATTCTTCTTCGCGTCCATGATTCCTCTCGTTGAAAAGACATGGACTTATAGACGGATATGACCCTCCTCATGAGGCGACATGGACCTCGAATTTAGATACACACTACTGGTTGTATTTAGATACACCAGTAATGTTGCAGCTAGTTTTGTGTTATTGTGAATAGAAATTGTAATTATTTTCATATTGCCTTGAATCGTACATAATGTCACCGTAATAATATTGGACAATAGCTTAGCCAACATTTGTTGTAGTAGGGTTTTGGATTGGTCAACAAATTTTATATTTATAGTGTAAATCAAATAGTTACTGACTTACTGCGTTAGACTTATCATATCCAAAGGTAATAGCCGGAAGAAAAAGTAGTTAGCTCAATAAAAAGTATATATTTCAATGAAAAAGTAGCTAAAATATAAATTAAGCTACTAAATTTTAAAATATAATTTTCGATATCAACTATAATTTACATATGAACATTGTTGCAAACCCACCAAACTCTACCCATTTATCTTGTATTTAGATTTATATCAAAGTCCAACCCAATTTAAGTTGAACAAGTAAATACTCATAGTTGCTAACATAAGTAAATACATCATTTAAAACAAAATTGACATCCTACAAAAATGTGAGAGAAAGCAATGAGCGATTGTAGCGTATTTGTATACGATGTCTCATCTTCTTTAATTTTACCATGTTGTCATCGTCACTAGCACCGATTCTGGAATGGATACAACACCACGCCCACATTCGATATATGAATTGAAAGGAGATTTTGCAAGGTTGTCAAACCGGTTTGTGCCAGTGTGCCGGTTTAGCAAGTGGAATGGTTCGACCGGTGGTACATACCGGTTTGTGCCGGTTCATGTCGGTTAATATTACAAATAATTTACAAATACTCATATTTAAGCACGACATTTAACGCCAATACCTAAGTATTTGTACTTGAGTCCAACAAATAACATCAACATTTAACTTTTTAACACATAAAATAAATAATAAATTACTTTTTATCAAATAAATTCACTTAGAGATTCGTATATCGATCATGCCGGTTATACCGATGGTGTCATACCAGTTTTATGACAGGTACAAATTGAACCCGGCGTGACAACCATGAGATTTTGTAAAACAGCACCTTCAATTATGAATTCAACCCTTCCTCTTGCTCCTCCCATTGGCAGCCATGTCAAAGGTATATTTGTTTTTGTTTTAATCTCTATATATTTATTTCTATTATTAATTATAATTTGACAGTTTGACCGTTTCAGAAGGATGACTCTAAAAACCGTTAAGCATAGATATCATTTAGGTCGTTGATGTGTTTTGAGTCTTTGAGATGATCACTCTATTTGTTTGATACACATAACAACGGTTAAAGATTCAATAGTTTCTCCCCAAAAGATTACAGCTCTAACCGTTTATGACTTCATTCCGTTACCACCAGACTCTAGAGACTAGACAGCTCTAGCTAACTAGGTTGAAGCTTAAGAGTTCGTTAGATATATATATGGGCCCGGCCCAACCGTTAAGGTAAAATAGAAGCCCAATTAGTTACAAACCAAAACATGCAAAGTATGGTTGTCACGCCCGGTTGAACCTGGTTTAACCTGTGTCGGTAATGAAACCGGCATGACACCACCGGTATGACCGGTATGATCGACTTACGCATTCTAAGTAAAATGACATCATTTTAATGAGTTTAATGAATAAAAAAAAGTAATTTATTGTTCATTTTATGAATGTAATAGTTAAAAGTTGATGATATTTGTTGGATTGTAACTAAATTGTCCACAAATATGTTTTATATATAATTAAATACATGAGATATTAATTGTTTTCACATTTTTTTAAACCGGCATGAACCGACATAAACTGGTTATACCACCGGTCGTACCATTCCATTTGCCAAACCGATACAACGGTATAAACCGGTTTGACAACCTTGAATTGCAAACAAAACAAGGGGGGGGGGGGGGGGGGGGGGGGGAATCTTTCTTTGTAATCCTGAAGCGAAAATTCTAGAGCCTGACCTAAGCTCCACGTAACGTTTCTTTCTCCCCAAGCACCAGCATCTGCAGGCACCGGCCCTTCCTTCTCTCTCTCTCTCTCTCTCTCCCTGATCCCTAGAAAAGTCCAAAAAATCTCTGATTGAAATCCCAGTGATCGTTTTCTCTCTCTCACGCGAGAAAGATGTGGTCCCTCCCTGATACTCTGCCTTCCCTCCGCCTCCCTCCGCTGCCGGAGAAGCAGCTCCTCCTCTCCACCGCAATGTCCTTCGCCGCCTCCGCCTTACTCCTCCGCTCCCTCCTCCGCGACCTCGTCCCAGATCCCGTCTCCGGCTACCTCTCCGCCCGCCTCCGCCGCCTCACCACCGGCATCTCCTCCCAGCTCACCGTCGTCATCCAGGAGGCCGACGGCCTCATCTCCAACCAGATGTTCCACGCCGCCAACCTCTACCTCGCCCACAAGCTCTCGCAGTCCACCGCCAGGGTCAAAGTCCTCAAGCCGGAGACGGAGAAGGAGCTCGACGTCACCATCGACCAGCACCAGGAGCTCCTCGACTCCTTCAAGGGAGCCAAGATGAAGTGGAGCCTCTCTTCCTCCCCTACCTTCTGCCCCGCCTACAGCCCCAACGGCCACACCGTCGGGCTCCAGCAGTCGGAGATTCGCTTCTTCGAGCTCACCTTCCACAAGAAGCACCGGAAGCTGGTTCTTGGCTCCTACCTCCCCCACATTCTCGCGGAGGCGAAATCGATCAAGGAGGAGAGGAAGACGCTGAAGCTCCACGCCATCGACTACAACGGAAAGGACTACTGGGGCGCCGTCAATTTCCACCATCCGGCCACGTTCGAGACGGTCGCCATGGATCCCGAGCTCAAGAAGGCGCTCGTCGCCGATCTGGATACATTCATCGAGCGGAAGGATTTCTACAGGAAGGTCGGCAAGGCGTGGAAGCGCGGTTACTTGCTGTACGGACCTCCAGGTACGGGGAAATCGAGCTTGGTCGCCGCCATGGCCAATTACCTCAAGTTCGACGTCTACGACCTCGATCTCAAGGAAGTCCAATGCGACTCCGACCTCCGCAGGCTCCTCATCGGCACCAGCAACAGATCTATTCTCGTAATGGAGGACATTGATCGCACCTTCGCGTCAATGGCGAACGAAGAGAAGGTAAATTGAATTAATTAAACAGAGCTTATAACATCGGTCAAAAACCTAATTAATTAATTGTCTCGATTTCCATCTTCAATTCCCTGAGCGCGGCATTGTTTTGTTCGTGGCTTTTTGCAGACCTCGATGGCGGGGATACTGAACTTCATCGACGGGCTGTGGTCGACGTGCGGGGAAGAGAAGATACTCGTGTTCACGACGAACCACAAGGAGGAGCTGGATCCGGCGTTGCTTCGGCCGGGGAGGGTCGACGTTCAGGTGAACATGTCGTACTGCACGTTCACTGCGTTCAAGACTCTGGCCTACAATTACTTCGAGCAGACGGAGCACGAGCTGTTTGGCCAGATCAAGGAGCTGTTGGGGACGGTGGAAGCTACTCCGGCGGAGGTTGCAGGGGAACTGCTGAAGAGCAAGAACGTTGACGTCGCGCTTCACGGCTTGGTGAAGCTGCTGAGGAGCAAGGAAGGGATTAGATTGGCGGCGGCTCTGTCTGGAGGAGGGACGACGGCGGTGGCTGAGGAGGAGAATGGATTGCTTCTTTTTCCTGAAGAACGAGCTGTGGAGAGGAACAGCACTTGGGATACTTTCCAGTATAATGCTTACGAGTAGATTATCAGGGAGGGAAGATCTATTTATGCAATGTTAACTCTGTTCTTGTTTAGGTTTTGTTTGTAGAGACCAAAATTTTGGCTTTCGTTTTATTCAGGATCTAGGGAGGAGCGATTTCTTAGTGAAAAACGAAGGCTCTAAAGGCATCCTTCTTTACAAAGTTTCTCAACAGGATTCTCTCTTTCACATATGATAACGTGTGGTAACTATGATTTGTGTTGATTGAAGTTCTTTTCCTTCTGTACACCGATTTCTCTTCTTCTTCAACAGCAAAACTTCCTCCTCTGAGCAGCAAACAGATAAAACGATTCTGAGTCAGTAAGTGGAAATGTCTATTAACCTGACGAATTGGTTCAAGTGTTTGATCTCGGAAATCTACCTTGAACTTGGCTTGTTCGAGATTATCGACATAGGCAAGAAGTTCTTCTTGCCTGATTAGAGCTTCATGCAGAGCCTGTCAATCAAAGAAGGGCAGAGCAGCACGATGAGCCTAGCTAGTTACCTAAATGGACCTTTCTATCCTAATTTTAACTGCAGAAGATGAGATTAGAATATCTAATCACCTTCTTGGTGGCAATTAGCTCTGCTTCAAGTCCATCAACGCGACAAACAGCAGCATTCAACAACTCCTCTTTCTCGCTGGGCATTTGAAGAGGTTTGGCCTGCAGCATGTCGACCTTCTGCTCAATTTCGGCCAGCCTTCTCGATACCGCTGAGATGAGGGCAAGAACTGAAGCTTCAGCATCAGATACAACGCCGCCATTGTTCCTCGTTGGATATGTTGGAAAATGAAAGAAAGCAAGAAGAGCTAGGAATAATGCGAAGAGCACAGCCCAGATTCTATCCAAGATTCCGGGACCCTTCTCTCTCCTTTCAGCGGCCGATGATACATCTGCAATGTAATTCAGCAGGAGTTCATGAAAAACATTTGCTTAGACTGTAATGCTGAAACTATCACAGCCCTCATTTTAAATAGGCTCTGGAATATACAATGCCAGAAAGGCAGAGCATCAACCCTGTTCTGATAACCTTTCGAGTTACCTTGTTCTGATGAAGATAGTTGTCTCTCGCATTCTGAGTCGACAGTCTTATCAATCATGGGCACATATTCGTCGATTTCAGAGATGCCACCAGCAGTGCTCGCCTTGCCGGCAACTCTAGCCTGAATAGAAAGCATCAAGTGAATGAAGATGTGGTCTCCAGGCAGAGAAGCCCTGCATAATTATCTGCCAGACTATTACTTACTTCTTCAGAGACTGGTGTCAACCGCGGAACCAAGTGCTTCTTATTAGTTTGATTTGGAGAGGCAATATCCTCAACTTCAGACCCCGACTCACCAGCTGAAGTATCACTTGTCTTCATCTTCATCTGACTTAAAATGAAAGAAAGCAATTAAAAATTCATCACAGACCATCAAAGCAAGGCACGGTAACCTAAATCGAGGCTAAGTTTGAGTTATACCGATGAATAATGTTGCTTTTCTCGAGCAATAACCTTGCCGTTACTATCCAAAATTGTTAATACTTGTCTGGTATTTAATGCATCACCATTTACAACCATCTACGTGGAAGACAAGGAATTAGGGCAATCACACAGATCAAACAAATAAAATTGAAAGTGTACGTTATTTGGTCAAGTCATAAAAAGAAACCTTAAGGATGTCGGGGTCTTTCCATGGTCCCTTTCCTGATCTCAAGCAACCTCCCTCACCAGCACAAGTACAGGTACCGCCTAAGAATTCGGGCAATTCACTGAACAAGTGCAAAATATGGTTGTTTAGATGCCGATATGTCTCAATACAGACCTATCGAGACAACACATTATTATCAATTTATCATAAGCAGTTGTGATACCTTGATTCTACCATTTCAAGTAATTTGCTCTGGTACTTGTAACCAAGAACCTGCAGTTAAAAAGTCAGTAGTGAGCAGATTCGAAATCTGTTCACTGCAACCAGGGATATTCCATATCTGAAATCTAAGACTAAACCACAACTCACATGAATCTTTGACACAGTATCAGGATCAAGGAAAGACTTGACTGTGCTCCAGAGTAGCTTAAACCCAGGACCAGCATTGATTACAAACATTCTCCCAAGAGTCTGCAGAGTGTAGTCCTTTAGACAAAGTGATAAAAACTGACCAATGTTTCGCACTTCCATGTTCTCTATACAAAACCACATACCTCAGGGTAGTTATCAGCATCAATCTTTTGCAGCTGCGTGATGAGCTCTCGAGCAGACTTAGTTAGGTTTTTCAAACCCTGGTGGAAAACATATCACATGTAAGCCTACTGCATAGTCTGCATTACTTATGAGTTATGAGCTGCAAGGAATAAGAACCAAGAATCATACCACTCCTTGGACATCCAAGATAGCTGTGCTCGACTGAATGCGCCTCCTGGCAGCAACCGAGCAGGCTGGAAACTTGATATTTAAAGTCTTCTCGAACTCCATCACATGGTATCTCACGTATCGTTCTAGGCTAGTGACCTCCATTAGTTTACTGGGTTCAACTTTTCCCAGCCTCTCAATGTAGATAGGCCTCCCATCTTTATCCACTCCATGGTATCCTTGTGGGTAGTAATCCAACACTTGGTCCAGCTCGTTGTACTCAAAATCCTCCATGATTGTGTCGGTGCCGAACTCTTTCCTCCACTGTATCATATTGCTCCACATTTGCTTGGCTTTCTCGACATCAAACTTCCTTGCCTTCAGAAATCTACACAGAAAAAAAAAAATTCAGTAAACCCGTCGAAGATACCATTGAATCAAACAATTTCAGTAGCGAAAGTTGAATACTAATCAAGCCACCTAAGCAACGTATGGCAATCGTCGTGCTGAGGAGGAAGCAAATCATCGGCGACGAGAATCTGTCTGAAGGACTTCACTGCCTTGAGCTCGTCGGCCTTCCAGACATCCTCAATCGCTGCTGCGGCGGCGGAGTAGGAAGTGCCTCCTTCCTCGCCATGGTCACGCCCTTTCTTCTTGCTCTTGTTCTTCTTGAGAGAACGCCTGAATTTGCTCGACGCCTTGATTGCCTTCTTCTTCAAACTCCCCATCCTAGTCTTCCTCTCCTCCTCCGAATTCTCCCAATCCGAACGCCTCTCTCTCTTCTCGTCGTTCCCTGACGATCCATCGAAGCCTGGCAGAAAACCCTAGAAGTTTCACATTCCACAATTTAAAGAATCCTAAAAAATCCGACACTAAAACGAAGATAATTAAGGTTCTATTTGAACTCACATGGTATAGCGAGGCGCTCCAATGGACTTGACATCGCTGTATCACCAGATCCGAATCCACTGGAACCGGAATCGTCCGATTCGGAAACGAATCGAAGTGAGCCAGCCGGGAAAGAAAAGAATCAGAGCACGGAATTCCTCAGCATGTTTCTGACCGGCGGAGAAAGAAGCGGTGGCCGCACCGGAATTGTGGAGGAAAGAGGAGAGAGGAAAGGAAGACGAAAGCCAGAGAGAGAGAGAGAGGAATGAGAAACTGAAAGGCGGTGGTGGTGGCGTAATTATAGGGCGTGGTGGCGGGCGGTGGAGCAGAGCGATGACGGAATCGGATATAAAGAAAACAGCGCGGTGGGAGGGAGAAAAAGCGGATCGTATCTTATTTTGTGCGGTGGTTCGGGTTTCCGCCGGTGGGGGCCTCTGGTTGACACGTGGAAGCGGAATGAGTGGATGAGTGTGGGTTATTTGCTTGGCGGGAGTTTCTTTTTATATTATTATTATTATTATTTCAGGACTGCCTTCATTGTTACGTCGACGACGGTTACCAAGGTTGATTCGGTTTCTCCTTCGTTTTTTCCCTGCTGGACCGTTTTTGTCGGCCTTTTGAAATTTCCACCTGTCTTTTGAACTTCGAGTAAAGCTGGTGAGCGACTTGGTTTAACTTTAACTAATCAAGAGGGTTAATTGAGGTTATAGATTGACAGATATCGTGAAAAGGAGATTAGTGTGTGAGACCTGGCTGGCTGGTGGGGTGGCCTATGTTATTGCTTCTCATAAATTTCGTTAATAACACGGGTAATTAACCCAACAGTTTTGGTTTAGTGCAATGATATTAACGTTTTAACGAGGGGAAAAAACAAACAAAAGCACGATGTTAACAGTTTGTTTTCGGTTTTTTGTTTACTTTTAGCTATAATTCAAAGCTATTGCAATTTGCAAGTCTTATTATCTATCATAATTTCACTCTTCCCCCTTGCTTACTCCATATTGGTCAGGGTAGTTGTGCTCACACTATTTTGTATTTCTTCATTGTCATGGAATAGGTGTGGTTGTGGTTAATTGCATAGAATAGACGAGTTAATTGTAATTGGAACAAAAAAATAATAATTCACCAACTACAAATTGTACTGGTTGTTATAGTTAGCAATTAACTGCTAACAACAAAGTACGTTAGTGGTTAGTCGGCTATATAAAGATAAATAGATAAAATTATGGTAGCAAAACAACACATGAAGGAGAGATTGCTACTGAGGATGTCACTCCATCCTCAATTAAAAATATAGAATTTGAATTCGAAATTTCTTGAAACGCTAATTTGTAACACTGAAGCAGAGTCGACAATGACTCGACCGACACCATTTTGATAATAAAAAAAAATCTTTGGACGAAAGTATTATACTAAACCCTTCAAATCGACAAATCCAACTTCATCAAAGGTTCGGACTACCACCAACTTCCATCATGCAAAAGCTAAAACACACGCTCCAAGGCTAAGCCGTAAATCCTTCTTTGATAATCCAAGCTTCTCCCTGCAAGACACATTATTATTATTTTTTTTTAACATAAGGCGATAAAGAGAACATACAAATGAAATTGGAAAACAAGAATAGTTTTGTTATTCTACTCATTGATGGGAATCTCAGTTTGTGAATTCACAGGATTGAGAGGACAACCCCTTGAGGAAAATAATTGCTTCGAGGACTTCCAGTCTTCCACAGATCACACTTGCCTTGTGATACACTTCATTTCAACCCCACCAAAAGGGCCTAATATTAGGTGACCCAATGTTTAATAAAGAGTTAATATTTTCGTATGGCCTGAACTTTGACCAAAATAAACATTCTGGTCAATTTTTTCGATCTATAACATTCTGGCCCGAACTATACATCAAAATAAACAATTTGGCCAGATCCGACTTTTGACCGTTAACTTGGACGGTCAAACGCGTTGACCGTTAGTCAACGCACCATGTCACTGCCAAGCCAACATAAAATATTTAAAATAATTAACAATTTCCACACATTTCCTAATTTTAAATTATTATAAATTAAAAAAATAATCTAATACATTAGTTAAACCTAAAATAAAAAAAGAAAAAATTAAATATTTATCAGATCTTCTGACTTCGCAGTGACGTGGCGCGTTGACCGTTAGTCAACGCGTTTGACCATCCAAGTTAACGGTCGAACATCGGGTTTGGCCAAATTGTTTATTTTGGTGTATAGTTCGGGCCAAGATGTTATAGATCGAAAAGTTTGACCAGGATGTTTATTTTGATCAAAGTTGAGGTCATACGAAAATATTAACCCTTTAATAAAAGCAAAAGGATTGATATCATTCATGCCTGTAAGTGGGCACTGGGCCGTGCCGCCCACGGGCTAGCACGGCACGGAACGGTTAGAACACGGCACGAGCATGAATAATTTATGGGTCGTGTCGCGCCTAAATTTCATGGGCACGGGCACGGCACGGTATATAAGTGGGCCGTGTCGGGCCTAATATTGAGTATAAGAACGGACATGACACGAAAATAATATTTATTCGGTAGAAAATAAATATAAAAAGAATTATAGGTTCAAATATTACAAAACACAAGTAGAAAAATAATTATTTGTTGTTAGAAGTGTCATACAGATATATACGTAATTACTAACACAAGTAAAAATGGACAAAGAATTAAACAAAGCCAAATCACACTCGCTATACTTCCAATTTTCTTTTCCCCCTTATTTGTTACTTTTCTCAAACATTATCGGTTAATACTATCTTCCCCCGTCCAATTTTCACCTTCTTTTTCATTCTCTCTTTTGTTTTTGTCATTTTCATTAAACACGGATACGAGCATGACACGAGCACGAATAGGCACGGCACGATTCGAACCGTGCCCGAGCCGGGGCCGGGCCTAGCAAAGTTAACAAATGGGCTTGCATGGCACGGCACGAAAACTGACGGGCCGTGCCAAGCACGACACGAAATATATGGGCCCAACGCCCATGTACATTCATGCCACACCTACGAAGCTTTTCCCAATTAATGATGCAAATTTGCGACCTCTGGTGTCAGACCATTCCAACATACGAAAACGGATTCAGGGCATTTCGTTCTGCCACAAAATACCGACAGCGTCAGCAACCCAACAAGCACTGGCGGAACATCCTAACCATAGCCCAAATTAATATCGACGAGCCGCAGCCCAATTGATGGCCCGGGAAAAGAGACCAGAGTGCCAGCTAACGGTGATTGCAAATGACAGGAGATAAGGCTGTGCATCAAATGGGACCTTCTCTTCTTCTAGTTGCAATTTGAATTTGGAACTACGACTAGAACTGACAATCAAAAACGTGTTGCTGAAGTTCAAATCAGAGCCACTACAGTTGAATTGTCCCACATTTTACCACCACCAATATCGAATCCTATACATATATTCACAAGCCTACTATATATATAGGGAGAGAGCGAGATGTATAGATAAATAGACACGTATTATATTCATAACGGACGATGGCGACGAAAGGAGAGCAGATTTTTACTCCCTGAGGCAGGCCGTCGGACTTCAACAGAGCTTTTTCCCACCGCATTTCCTATTTACAAAAGCTCCGACTGGCCTCGCTACTCTCTCAGACGTGCTTCCTCAGGTTCCTCTTTGCACGAAACTGGCCGAGCTTGTCCCTCCATTCAGCTGCCACACAGAAGAACATTATTAGGCTAGACCATATATATATGTTCTCACTTTCTCCTACTTGTTAGAGAGGTTTTAGCTTGGCCCAATCCCAGGACTACTTGCTTCATCACAGTGGAGGGATTATAAACATATACCACACTGGGTTTGGACCTTGAAGCCAAAATGTATGTGCATATCCCCCATTGTGCTTGGGCAAAAAATATTTGAATGAACTACCTGCATCGTTGTAACGCTCATCAATCGCAGCTTCCTGCATGTTGCGCACAAGAATGAACTCTTTGGTATCAAGGCACGGCGTGGGCCTGAAATCGTGTAAACAAAATCCTCTTCAGCCCTTTTCGCTTTCAGAAAGAAAAGGACTTAGTGATCAAGAGCTAGTCAAGCAACTTGTGAGTAGACAAAATAGTTTCACTTTTTTGCAGAAACACATGAATTGTAACTGCTTGGGGAAGAGAGAAAATGGATGCAACGGTAGTTTAAACGGCCCCCCTTAAACTTTCAAGACTAACCGGTCTAGTTCAGTGAATAGTAAGTCATCTGAAGTATGAGAGGGCGTTAGCCTTCCAGAATTAATGATTCTCATCCCATCACTGTATGCTAGGTACTTGTTCACTTGAATTGGTACCTGCACAAAGAACCCAAACCACAAGTACCTTAGGACTGCCATCCCCATCTAAGCTGAAAGCAGTATACTTGATAACTCTTTATTTTCCTTCCATCTCTTGGTCAACCATACTGTGAAACTACTAGCTCCAAAGTAACAGATTGGGTTGTAAACCATTAGCTGACTAATTTATTCCATACAGTCAAGGCTCAGCATTCTCTCATCACAAGAAGATAGGTTAAACCGGATCCAACTTAAGTGTTTAATTTCCTCTCAGCCACAAGTAGATTATGTCAAGTATCCATAGCATTCCCAAGTACGTGTGTTAAATACCTTGCATCTCACTGCAATATTGATAGCATCTGAAGGGCGGAGGTCAAAACTGATAGACTCATCAGAACCAGCCTGTGAACAAAACATAGGACATTAAAAGTTAATACTTCCTAGAGCCTTGCAGCTGAACAAGACTTTACCTCCATAAGGTATAAGAATTCAATCGGTAAACAAACCTTTGTCAGATACAACTGAGCATAATATGCTTCATGCACTCGCCTAGTTACTCTAACAAGCTTAACCTGCATAGAAGAACATGCACCGCATGAGAAATCTGATGGAGTCCCAATTCCCAAACAGTCAACCATTGCATGAGAAGTGCTAGCAAGTAGCAACTTACTTCATAGCCCATCTTGTCAACCATGTCCTTCACTACTTGATAAAGAGTGGGTCTTGACTGCAACCAAAGAATATGCATTTGCAGCAGTTAGCAGGCTTCAAAACTATCATTCAACAGTAAGAAAAAGGAAGACAGTAGAACTATGGAATCAACACATACAATTTGAACATTCCGGACTGCTGCCATTAGCAATGCACTTGGCATCTCCACTGCAAGAGAACAGAGCACAATAGAATACTTAAAATGACACAGAACAAGGGATGTAGAATCATAACAATGTGCTAGCATTAGCAGACATACAAACAATTATTGGGAGGAGAAGACCAGTCCCATCTTCCATCTTCAACACGATCGCAGGATGTGGAGCGTAGTCTGGCAAGTGGCTGCCCTGAGCATTGTTATGGACACATCTCAAATGCCTCCCATCTCTCTTTTTAATCATGAAACCATCTGCCCCGCTCTTCACCTCAACTGCAAAGAACACATATAGCAACATTAGCAGATCCGAGCACACAACGAAAAAAGTTCCAAACTGATCAAAACAAATAACACACACATTCCCGTACCAGCTTCAACTACACTAGAATTGACATAATCTTCATACTGCTCATTAAATTTCGCCATGTTGCCATTATCACTTGATGAAGAACTTAGAGCACATTGCACCTTGGAGAAGTTCTGCCGACTCCGAGAAACCAAACCGCCCACCTTACTCTTGTCGCCATGTGTTCCTTTGAATCCCAATAAGTCGTTACCAACGAACCTGGCTCTCACCACGCAGCAATTCATCACAGGAACGGTGCACATATAGAATCCCGCTTGCTTTGCAGGGCATATAACTGGTCCTTGAAGAGAAGCCATTTCCGCACCTCCTCAGGTAGTCCTGTAACCAATGTTCGAATGATATAGAAAAACAATCACGATCCAAACAGAAACCGAATTGAAAGCTTAAAATGGGGGAGGGGGGAATCAGAGACTAAGACACTTCAATACATCTTGACTACCAAATCCGGTAATTCGAGTAAGAGGTAATTTCGAGGATCAAACGCAACCGCAACTATCACCGCTGGCCGAATCTTAATCCACTAATTATTATCTCGACATCCAAACAAACAAATATCTCCTCCTCTCTCACACTAGAAGAATCCATTAGAGAATTAGACATCTCCAGAAGATGAATCTAAAAGCGCACCTGAAAAAATTCCTCAGACGCGCCCCGATCACGGCTACTAACTAAATCAGAGCCACCGTATACAGATTCTGCCAAAGAAATTCCGCGGGAGGATCAAATCAGGAACCAGAATTTCCCGACTACCGATCGATCGCGATTGAGTGGATAGACACTGCGGGAAAGTGAGCAATCGACAATGGAAGGGATCGGGATAAAATGTAAGGGAGGAATGAGAGACTGTGGAATGGAGAAGATAAGATATAAATTGTTACGAGGCCATCTTAGGGAGAGATACCGAGTGACAGAGATAGACAGAGAGATTCCCAATGGGAGAAGAGTATATGAGGTCTGTTGATAAAGAAGACAACAAATTGGAGGTCGTGTTGAGCGTGGAATAACGTCTATACCCCCGGAGGAGCTTTTAGCTGAGTTCTCCCGCGGTTCTGGTTTTTACAATGGGGAGTCTTGATTAGTGATTTGCTTAATATCGAGATTAAGAGAGGAAATCACCGTTATAATTAAGGAGAAGTGATTTACAGGATGACGTGGGGATGGAGAAAATCTTATCCACAAGGTGTGTGGTAATTTTATCGGCATTATTTTATATCATGTTTGGTCTCATCGCTAGTTATTTGGAGTCAAGTTTGATGTCTTCAAATCATTCTAAATATAGGTATTAACACTTTTTTACTGATTTAATTAAATGCATGGATAAGTTTGTGTGAAAGTCATTTTTATGCTTATAGTGATTTATGCGTATATCATGTTTTAACTTTGATTTTGTTTTGTATAAATTACTAACGTGTGGTTGTCATAAAGCATTGTTGTAATTTGATTTGCGAGTAGAAATAGGAAAGCAAGAAAACTTATATGCTTACCAATTACAAGTCACAAGCGGATTTGATTGATGAATTTCAACGGTGGATATTAGTGAAAGTATCCATGACCATGCTTGTTGAATTCCAAAACCCACAAAATGATGAACCATGAAAATAGTTTGATGTTGGATTTTTCCTTCTTAAAATCAAGTTGGTAACTCGACATTTTTTATTATCTATGTAATTTGTGCAATCTTTCAATTTCATTAGCACAATAAGACAACCTTAATCGAGTGGATTATCGAATAAGATCCTGATGGATTAACTACTCACAACAGCTCATGTATATTCATTTTGAAATAGTAAATCGCAAAAATCAGAGAGAAAAGTCGATAACTAAGTTGGATTAGGAATGTTAAAAGATTCAGACATTTTTTCAGTAATCTATACATAATATTATGACAATTCAAACGTAGTTTGTAGCTTGGACTTCTTAGTTTAATAAATTAAAGCCCATAGCTAGAAGTTAACCAAGAAAGGAAAAGTAATATAAAACGTCTATCTTGTTTTCTCCACCCATTTCTGAAGATACTCTTCTCCACAAATTTTCGCTATGTTTGACAAATAGGATGGTGCAAATTCGAGAGGGGGCAAGTAAAGTTGCAAATTTTTTGGGGGGGGGGTACAAATTGGGGTTTCCTCTGTTTCTTCTACACTAAACTTCCATATGCATCAGTCTTTATTTTCATCTTGTTCCAACTGGTTTTCACTGATTCTTCTGCACTAAGCTTCATTTCTTGTGCATCAGAGGTAGGTTGAGAGGGAACCACCAGATGATAAGTTGCAACAAGAACTACACTAGAAGTAAGTAATTACACAACACTTGTTGGCCATATATGTGCAAGGATTTCAGAATCATCTTCCGCGACATCATATAATCATTAATTTACCATCAAAATGAAGATTACTTCAAGATTGGAACAAAACCCCGAGTGAGCAATTGAAGGTTGGCCGTTTGGGGTTGGAAGTGGATACAGTGGTTGGAAGTTTGGAACAAAAGCCCGAGTCAAGAACGGAGCCACCTATCATTGGATTGAGCACTCACAAATTGTAGTTATCTAATAAAAAACATATGAACTATACAAACAATACAAAACATATGACGGATGACACTCTTGAGTATAGCTCAACAATTAAGCAAATCCAGCTTCTAATGAAAAGATTCGAAGACTGTAGTGTGAGGCATATTTACAGTGAACAAAATGTTGTAGCGGACTATTTGGCTAATAAGGGGCGCTCGAACCCGATAGGTGGCTCCTTTCTTGATTTTTTATTTTTCGTGACATGATAGGTGCCTCTGAACCTCGTATGATTAATAACAAGGATTAGGGACTTAGGGCATCTCTGTTGTCTTTTCACAAAAAAAAAAGTTTAAACAGTTCATTTGGGCACTTCGTTGTATTATTATTTGTTGGGCGTTTTCTTGTTTTCATGAACTTGAGCTTGGGCTTCTTAGTTTAATAAATTAAAGCCCATAGCTAGAAGTTAACCAAGAAATGAAAGGTAACATAAAACGTCTTTCTTGTTTTCTCCACCCATTTCTGAAGATACTCTTCTCCACACATTTCCGTTTTGTTTGAAAAATAGAGAGGGGGCAAGTTAAGGTGCAAATTTAGGAGGGGGAAGAGAGGGGGGTTACAAATTTAAGGGGGGAGGGGTACAAATTGTGGTTTCCTCTTTTTCTTGTGCACTAAACTTCCATATGCATCAGTCTTCATCTTAATCTTGTTCCAGCTGGTTTCCACTGTTTCTTCTGCACTAAGCTTCATTTCTTGTGCTTCACAGGTAGGTTGAGAGGGAACCACAAGATGATAAGTTGCAACAAGAACCACACTAGAAATAAGTAATTACACAATACTTGGTGGCGATATATCTGGAAGAATTTCAAAATCATCTTCTACGACATCATACAATCATTGATTTACCATCAAAATGAAGATCTCTTCAAAATTGGAACAACACCCCGAGTGAGCAATTGAAGTTTGGCCGTTTGGGGTTGGAAGAGTATAGTGGTTGGAAGTTTGGAATAAAAGCTCGAGTCAAGAACGGAGCCACCTATCATTGGATTGAGCACTCACAAATTGTAGTTATCTAATACAAAACATATGAACTATAAAAATAATACAAAACATATGACGGATGACACTCTCAAATATAGCTCCACAATTAAGCAAATTCATCTGCTAATGAACAGATTCTAAGACTGCAGTGTGAGGCATATTTACAGTGAACAAAATGTTGCAGCGGACTATTTGGCTAATAAAGGGTGCTCGATCCCGATAGGTGGCTCTTTTCTTGATTTATTATTTTCCGTGACATGATAGGTGCCTCGTATGATCAATAACAAGGGTTAGGGACTTAGGGCACCCCTGCTGTCTTTCCACAAAAAAAAAAGTTTAAACTGTTCATTTGTGGACTTCTTTCTATTATTATCTGTTGAGCCTTTTCTTGTTTTCATGAAGTTGAGCTTGGACTTTTTAGTTTAATAAATTAAAGATCATAGCTAGAAGTTAATCAAGAAAAGAAAGGTAACATAAAACGTCTTTCTTGTTTTCTCCACCCATTTTTGAAGATGCTCTTCTCCACACATTTCTGCTCTGTTTGACAAATAGGGAGAGTGCAAATTCAAAAGGGGGCAAGTTAAGGTGCAAATTTAGGGGGGAGGGGTACAAATTGGGGTTTCCTCTGTTTCTTTTGCACTAAACTTCCATATGCATCAGTCTTCATCTTCATCTTGTTCCAGCTGGTTTCCACTGTTTCTTTTGCACTAAACTTCATTTCTTGTGCTCCACAGGTAGGTTGAGAGGGAACCACCAGATGATAAGTTGCAAAAAGAACCACACTAGAAGTAAGTAATTACACAACACTTGGTGGCGATATATGTGCAAGAATTTCTGAATCATCTTCCGCGACATCATACAATCATTGATTTACCATCAAAATGAAGATCTCTTAAAGATTGGAACAAAACCCCGAGTGAGCAATTGAAGTTTGACCGTTTGGGGTTGGATGTTTGGAACAAAAGCCCTAGTCAAGAACGGAGCCACCTACATTGGATTGAGCACTCACAAATTGTAGTTATCTAATACAAAACTTATGAACTATAAAAACAATACAAAAGATATGACGGATGAGACTCTCAAATATAGCTCCTCAATTAAACAAATCCAGCTGCTAATGAACATATTCTAAGACTGCAATGTGAGGCATATTTACAATGAACAAAATGTTGTAGCGGACTATTTGGCTAATGAACAGATTCTAAGACTGCAGTGCTCAATCCAATGATAGGTGGCTTCGTTCTTGACTCGGGCTTTTATTCCAAACTTCCAACCACTATATCCTCTTCCAACCCCAAATGGCCAAACTTCAATTGCTCACTCGGGGTGTTGTTCCAATTTTGAAGGGATCTTCATTTTGATGGTAAATCAATGATTGTATGATGTCGCAGAAGATGATTTTGAAATTCTTCCAGATATATCGCCACCAAGTATTGTGTAATTACTTATTTCTAGTGCGATTATTGTTGCAACTTATCATCTTGTGGTTCCCTCTCAACCTACCTGTGAAGCACAAGAAATGAAGCTTAGTGCAGAAGAAACAGTGGAAACCAGCTGGAACAAGATTAAGATGAAGACTGATGCATATGGAAGTTTAGTGCACAAGAAACAGAGGAAACCACAATTTGTACCCCTCCCCCCTTAAATTTGTAACCCCCCCCCCCTCCTAAATTTGCACCTTAACTTGCCCCCCTCCTATTTTTATAGTTCATATGTTTTGTATGGTTAAACTCGTTGACGAAATAGGGAAACTCCAAAAACTAAGTATATGGAGAATTTAAGCATCAGTCATCCTTGGTTGTGAGTGGTAGTAGGTTGTTCTATCTAGAGTTTAGATGTGCTTCGTATGGTCATTCGAGTTTAGATGGTTATGTGTATGAAGGTTGCAGGGTGGATCCTTGCTTTGTTTTGGTGCGATCTTTTGGGAGAGGTGTTAGCCTTGATTTCAAGGAGCCCTACAAGGAGTTTCATGGGACTATAGTTCTTTCTAATGGAAGAGGCAATTGCCCCGAGTTTAAAGAACCCTACAAAGAATGTTCTAGTGGGCTACAGTGTTGGAAAGCTGTTTGCGGGAACTTTTCAACAAGGCTGGGTGGCTGGTGGTTGTATGGGAGTTGTGATGCATGATAGTGGTGCTTCAGAGATTTATTTTTGTGGGTTTTGATATGGAGAACTTGCCTTCAGGAGCTGCTGGTGGCTGTCGAATAAGCAGAGTCTGCATCTTGAGGATTATATAGCTGGTGGCATCATGTTTCAGTAGCTTGCTTGCAATGGAGCAGAGGCCTTGCTTTTTTTTGCTCTCTTCAACAACCATTATAATTTCCACCTTCTTTCCTTGTGTTACTTGTTTCTCATTTCATTTTAGGTTGCTGGGTTTTCAATTGTATCTCCGCCTTGAGGACAAGGCTAATCTCAAGGGGTTGGATTTTATTCTTGATGTACTGCTGCAACTATCGAATAACATAATAAGAATTTCCCCAATATCTGCTTCTTCTCTTCTGCTCTGTCTCTGTTCTTCCCCTTCTTCTAATGTTCTTCTCCAATTCTCATTTCTCTTCTCAGACCCCTCTATTCATCTCTTCAATTTCCAATTGTTGATACTCAATCGCTAAGAATTGATCCATCAGCATTCTGGAACGCTACAGTTGACCCACATATATATATATGGGTGAACCCCAGTCCCTAATTCTCTAACCCAGGCCACAAGATTCATTTAATCTAAAAAATAATAACCGACGGTTCTGATTCAACAAAATATATTGAAGTGCAAAAACCAAGTGTGAACACAGGCGTACAACGTGCACCTGACGTGTATATATATATATATGGTTCAGGCTAGCGTACACCAGGTGTATAGAGTACATCTGTGTTCACACCTATAAATTAATTATTAATTATTTTAATTTAATTATAATAAATTTAATTATTGATAATAAATATAATTACAATCATAATCACTCGTTAATTGTTGTATACATTTTAGTCCCATATCATTTTTTGTCGTACATTAAACTCAAATCAATCCTTTAACTATTATTTATATAAATTATAATACTCTTTTCTCCAAATCTTAATTTTACAACACCCAAACTTTAAAGTAATCTGCAACTTTCATTCCTCCCTAGTCCCTACAACAAGAATTGACCACGCCGTTTTGTCATCATTCAATCTCTATTCATTTTTTCTCCAGAAAAAAGTATTCATTCATCTCTATCTCCTTCGTCTAATCATCTTCTTCCGAGGTGAGAGGGTGGTTTTTACTTGTAAATCCTTTGTTCCTTTAACTACCATTCTCTCCTGATTCAGATCGGCCCGCCATAGCTTTAGATCCCCATTCGCCAATAGCTGAATCCCCTTTGCCAAAAATCGAGCGTCCTAGGTCAACCAGGAGCTGGGATCCCCGCCTTCAGCAACCTTAAAGTCTTGGGAAACAACATCATAGAAGCTGGACAAGGGATCTGGGCTTCCTTACTCAACCCTGTCGACGTCCTCCACCGCTCCACGGGAACATCGGCTCCTCTCATCATCCTTTAGAACAAGTCCGCCAACACCGTTGAGCTTCTCCGCCTGGCCGCATGAACTATGGACAAAGGGGCCTGCTTGGTGTCGGTAACTTCCATCGAATTGAGCTCTGATCCGCTGCGAGATGAAGATGAGCAAAAGAGTCGGAGAGTTTTGAGAGATGCAGTGCAGAGAAGAGATGTGTTGAGATAAGGGATCAGATTTTTCAATTCCCTCTTTGAGATTTTTCAATTCCCTCCTTGACTGAAGATTCAATACATGTCTGTCAAATAGACCTCGCCGCGCTTGGGGGAAGAAGAATAGAAGTTAAATGAAATTCTATAAGAAATTGAATTGAAAAAGATGGAGAATAGATTTCTAATTCTAAACACAAAATTTGGGTATTCAAATTTGTGATTTAGAAAAAGAAGTTACGAAAATTTATATAATCGAGAGTTATATGATTGATTTCAGCATAATGAATGATAAAATTTATGCGGTATTCAACCTTACAAGTCAATTATTTAATGGATGTGATTGTAATTTTAATTATTTCTAATAATTAATGTACTCATAATCAAATTAAAAATATTTAATAATTAATTTATTAGTGTGAACACAAGCATACACCGTACGTCAGGTGTACGCTAGCCTTTGCCATATATATATATATATATGGTGGCGTCTTCAGTGCACTCACTTTTTTGGGTGCATTCAGTGCACTCACTTCATAACCATCATTTTAAACATGCGATTCATGTCAAAATGATTTCAATCATCACTTATGATGTGATAAACAATAAAGCACATGAATTTGCACAAAACCATTCATGATTTACTTTAATTTGAAGGATTTAGAGTTTAGAGATTTAGGGTTAGGGTTAGGGTTTACAATTTGGGGTTTAGTGACAGAATTCAAAATTGGAGGTCTAGAGCTTAGGATAATCCATTAATTAGTTGTTATCATATACTATATCATCTATTACACTAATTCTACATATTAAAGTTCAAAATCCGACACCTTAAGACTTGTTTTTGAGTTTGGGTGCGTTGAACGCACTCATTTTTGTGAGTGCTCCAAAGTAGTCACCTATATATATATGGTAATGACTGGTGTACGTCAGGCGTATAGTATACAGCAGGTGATCTAATCGTTAGACGTACTTAGATGAGCTCCGACCGATCTCAACGGTCTATATATATATATATATATTGGCTATTTCGGTGCATTCACTTTTTTGGGTGCACTCAGTGCACCCATCTTTAAAAGTGTCCATAATACATCAAATTTTGAACTTTAATTAGTACTCTCAATCTAATATGATGATATGACATAGAATCATAACAAATCAATCTATTACCCTAACCCCTTAACCTTGAATTTGGAATCTCAATGCAAAATTCCAAATTTTAAACCTAAACCCTAAACCTAAACCTCTAAACCCTAAATACTTCAAATTAAAGTAAATCTTAAATGATTTTTTTCAAATTCTTGTGCTTCTTATTCATAATATCATAAACAACAATTGATACCGTTTTGACATGAATCGCATGCTGAGAATGATGATTATGAGGCGGGTGCATTGAGTGCATCCAAAAAAGTGGGTGCGTCGAATACGCCACCATATATATATATGGTGGCGTATTCAGTGCACTCACTTTTTGGGTGCGCTGAATGAACCCGTCTCATACTCTAAGTAAACGATTCATGTAAAAATGATGGTAATCTTCAAGTATGATATGATGGACAAAAAATACATGAATTTGTACAAAAATAATTCAAGATTTACTTGAATTTCAATGATAATATATATGTTTCCGTTTGGGATTCATGACAGCATCGATGAAGAAGAACGCATAACGACAAGATTCTCGTCCCCAAAATCTCCGGCCAGCTGGAATTGTAACGACTGTTTTCTGTTGTCGAAAAATAGGAGAATTTGACAATGCAAGTAAACGAAAGCATGAACATACATACAATATACGATTTACGTGGTTCACTAACACAATGTGTATTAGCTAGTATAAAGGACGGGAGAGAGTTAGTTTCACTATACTCCGAGTAGATACGAATTACAGAGGAGTATGAGAAATATTTATAGTACTTCTCTCGTGACTTCCAGTTATAGTGGCTGATAGTCCGGTTCAAATCAAATCAACAAGAATATTTCAATAGAATATATGTAGAATTTTGCTCGGCACGGAAAAATAGGTTGTATAATATTTCCCCATAGCAATAATGATATTTGATTTATAAATATTTTGAAACAAAACCATAGTTGAGAATTGATCAAATATGTTAGAGGGGAGAGACCAGAGAGAGACAGAAAGATCAATTTGGGGCAATTTTGTTTTACATCAATGGATCAAATTTGGTCCGTCCCTGTTTCCTACTTAATGCATGGGTCGACCAAAGTTGCTCCATCAACCACACTCTACGCCCTTAGTGTCTCAATTTTTCTTTATGTCCCACCGCCGAAATTAGGGGGCGGCGGCGGCCACATGGCTCCGCCGATGCTTCCGCCGTCGATGCTGGTTACGTAGGACATGCAGGACAGCGGTACGAGACACAGGCCTCGGCTTCTTAGATCTCGGCTCGTCGCCTCTCCATCTTCAACTACCTCTCCTCCAGTTGCACCCTGGTAAACAAAAGTACAACGGAAAAGAAACAGTGGGTGAGGAGGTGAAGGAGAAGTGGATTGGGCCTATTTTGTACTGGGCTTTTGGCCTAAGAATGTCTCCCTATATAGCCTTACCGTTTGGAAATGCATGGGCCGATTGGGCTTGTTGCGAGTTGACTTCATGTACGGGACGCTTAATGTCTGCAAAAAAAAAAAAAAAAAAAAATGTACGTGAAAGAGATGGGTATGGGGATTAATCAAGTCATCAATTGGTTAATTATACTTTCGTAGATCCAAAAAAAATAAGTGACAATTAATTCTCTAAAAGTTACCTCGACTTGGTTTTGAAGGAACTTGATGTATCCGATAGCCTCCATTAACACTGACGCTGTGTCAGTCTGCAGCATCAAGTTTCACCATGCCACGTAAAAAAAGTTAAAAAAGGAATGATAATAATACCATAACAGCCAGTTAAAAATGATTAGTATGTGATTAGTTTGCAGGTTAAAGTTAATTGGGAGTTTTTAATGCGTATTGATATTTTTTTACCTTGCCAAAAGGGGCAACCATCTGCTGCAAGGCTGCGATTCTATCACCCAGCTTCTCTTTCCTTACCTGCGGTAGATGAAATGCATCTCGTCCCCTTTACACAGTAGTTTAAAGTAGAAAGGGTTAAAAAAAAGCTGATAAAGTAAAAAAACCCTACCTTAAAGGGAGGGCAAGAGGCACGCGGCTGGTCCAATCTCGACTTCTTATTGGTTCCCGGCTGCGACGTGGCCTTTGCCGCCGTCGTCCCTTCATTCGACGACGACCCGCTGCTGCTTCTCTTCGCATCCGTCGTTGGAGGTGCACTCTTCGCTGCCGTTTCCCTGTTAAACGACGCCGTGGACGAGCTCCAAGAGGACACCTTCAAAACCATTTCATCAAGATCAGTATACGTAGTTTTGACCATATGATCAGTTAATTTACTTTCATCAGCAAACTCGAACTCATCATAATCTTTTCCATTTGCGCTTATAATTTTACTTTCATCGGTTATTTTTTTTGACGATCGATCTCGATGCGAAAAATTCTAATTGGCATACAGGACCTAGCTAGTGCCATATCAACCAATTGAATGATAAAGAATGATGTAGGAGTAACACAAATGCCAACATTGATTGGTTAGGAGGCTGAGCTTAGTGTTTAATTTGATGTCTTAAAATACTAAGTTTGCTTAGTGCCTAAAATGTTTTACACATACATAGGCAAATGGATCAGATGATCAAAGCAGTGTATGATAGATATTGATGATTATAAATGTCGAATATGTCTCTAAACTCTATTGATTTCCTAAAGATTCATTTTACAATAATACAACATGTATGAGTATGAAATTTCTTTTTGTGAATAACAATATCAGATTGAAGGAGGGAAAGGAAGGAAGAAAAAGGATTAAAAAAGGAAAAAAAAAAATTGAAAAGAAAGGTAACAAGAGGAAAAGAGAAGGAGAAAGGCTGATGATTCTCTTTCTGATAAAAGAGAGATCCAATTCAAAAATGGTTAAAGCTGAAATGACTCTCTACCCATTCGCAGCCAAAGAGAGAATGCCATGGCCTATTTTTATTTTTTTCTCCACTTCCTATAGAGTAAAAATAAATAAATAATAACCGCATTGCAAAGCTTCTTCACTTTTCTTTAATTCCATCATCCCATAATCAGAATTTTAATCTAGCACGCACACCATAATTAGATAAACTAAATCGAATCAAAATCAGAATCGAACCGAAGAGAACCAGACAACCATGATTGTTAATTAGTAGGAAAAAGTTAAGTTTATAACCATACCTTGGTATTGCTAGGGCTGCAATATTGGCGCATCATGAGATTCTCCTGATGATGATGATGAAGAGAGCCATAATTAGGATTATGATCAACCCTTAAATGCGATCCCATTAGACTACTTGGATGATTGGAGGAGGAGGTCAAGAGATCATCCAAGCTGGCTTGCATGTTCATATCCAACGGCGCCGTTTGCTGGCTGAGGCTCGACACGTTGATGCTAGGGTATATGAAGCTGCTAGTAGTAGTCCCACCGCTCCCGCCAACCCTCGCCGCCGGCAGCATAAAGTAATTATTAGTACCGAAATTCGCCGGCGGATTGATAAAAGGCATCATGACTCCTCCTCCTCCCCCTCCTCCTGGTTGGTAGTGGTGGGCGGCGAAGGGGAAGGCGGAGATGGTCTTGAGGAGGAGCTTGTCGGAGAGATCGTTGGCCGATGAGGGGGAGGAGGAGGTGTCGTCGGCGGTGGCGGAGGAATTAGGGGAAGCGGAGCTGATTAGCATGTCGGTGAACCTCGGGAAAGGGTCCGACGACGACGTCGTGGAGGAGGAGAGTGGCGACGGCGAGCCTCCTTGGTCCTTGACGGAGGTGAAGCAGCCCGAGTGGGTGTTCCACTGGAAGCTCAAGTCGTGGTTTTGATGCTGAAGCAGCATTGAAGCAGCAGCAGTGTTGATGTTGTTGTTGTTGTTGTTGTTGTTGTTCATCGTCAGCCTAGGGTTTACCGAACCTCCATCGCTTCATTAACCAATGCACACATAAACAAAGTTACTACACAAACGAAAGAAAAAAAAGCTAAGGGGGGGGGGGGGGGGGGGGTGAGAATATAACCCTATGAGATAGCTGTAGTTGCATGTTCTTGGGATTCCAAAGCTGTGATTGGTATGGGTCAAAACCTAAACTATTTGTGGATGAGGGGAAGTGAAAATTAGATTCGTTTTGGTTCTGGGATTGTGATGAGAAGAAGTGAGTAATATAGTAAAAAGGAATTGCTATAAAGTGAAAAAGCTGGAAGGGAAAAGGGGAAGATTCCTCATCGTAAAGTAATATAGTTGGAGATAGAGAGATGGGGGGAAGTGAAGTGAAGTGAACTCACAAAGTAAAGTTCTGGGTCCAGCCGGAAGGATGAAGGCCGGTTGTCGCCGGAGCTCCATAGTAATTAGCTGCGGCGGTGGAAGGATTAGGCGGAGAAGAGGAGGAGGAGGAAGAAGAAGAAGAGCTGGAAGAGGCAACAAGTTGAAGCTGGCGATGATGGTGTTGGTGATGATGATGGAGATTTGAAGACTCCATCAGCTAGGCTAGGGTATTATATTAGAGGAGACCTTCTCTTGTACAATTATATGGAGAGAATACAGAAATAATTTTAGGGCTTACAACTTCCCTTCTTTTTATTTTTTCTGGGTTGCAAATAATGGCAACAAGTGATATGGAGAGGAACTGTAGAAGATAGCAGCTCGTTCAGGTGACAGGCCACAGTACTTGCAGCCACACCCACATCTCCTCCTCTCCTTTCTTTAGAGAGAGAGAGAGAGAGAGAGAGAGAGGAGAGGCTGACACTTTTGAGAGAGAGGAGAGGAGCTCCCCCTTTTGCACTCTCTTTACTCTTTGGAAAACACTGGGGGAAAAAATAAATAAAAACAGAACCAGTCTTGAAAGGAAAGCAAGCTAATGAATAAAAAAGCTAGCAGAGAAGAGAATATATTAAAAATATATTTAGTGGGGGGGGGAATGAATTATATATTATAAAATATAGGAAAACCCTAATCCATCCACCACTCCTCCCTCCCACATTCCTGTCTGACTTAAGAAACATTATTTTATTCGATCTCGACCCTTTTTCCACTAGCTAGTCTATATTCTGTCCTGTGTCTCTTTTTGGTGGTGGCTGGCTGGGAATGCTTGATATGGCAGAAGGCATGGGGGAGAAGGAAGAGAGGTTTGGTTGGTGGGTGTGGCTGGCTGGCTGGCTGGCTGCAATTACAGGGCGATGATTACATCTATGTTGTGTTGTGATGATTGTTTATGAGATATGTAAATATATATGCCTTCGATCCCAAGGCTAGATGAGCTGAGGTTTCTTTCTTTTATAAACACAACACCACAGAGAGGAAAAAAGGGTGTTTCTCTACAGTAGAGATGCAATGATGACAACCCCTCCACTTGATCACTAATCTGGCCCTTCTCTTTTCCCCTTTCTCCCATTACTTATAGCTAGCTAGATGATGACATCTATATTATTAATCTTTCAAATCCACATGCGGTTGAGATGCATGCCCCTCTTTGATCTTCCACCTCCTCTTGCATCTATATATTATGTGTGGGCGTTCGGTCGGTTCGATTTGAACCGAACCGAACTGGTACATGCCGAATTTCCGAAATTACATACATCCCCACCGAATTCGAACCCAGCTATAATTCGGTTCGGTTCACCCGAACCAAATTATAGATCGGTTCGGTCCGGTTTCAAGGGCCAAATCCGAAATTCTAGAACCAACCAACCTTATCTCTCCAAAGAAAATCTCCGCCACACATTATCTTTCCCCTCCTTTCACAACCTTATCTCCGCTCTCTTCCTCAAACCCTCGATCTCCGACTTCCATCTCCAGTCTCTCCCTCGATCTCCGACTCCCCCCAACTCTTACTCTACAAGCGTCACATCTCCCTCTCCTCTCCTCTCCCTCGATCTCCGACTCCCCCCAACTCTCAACTCGATCATCCTCTCCTTTCCCTCTCTTCACTTGTTTTTGGCAAAGCGATTGAAGGGAAGCAGGTCGGAGATGGCCGCTCAGGCCGCTACTGGTCACTGGATTTGATGAAGCGAAGTTTTGTGGTGGTTGGAGAAGGTTGGCTGGCGGACGGCAGTTGCTGAGAAGGTGAGAGGCGAGGGTTGAGTCAGAGGCTAGAGGGGAGAGGGTTGTGGGCTGTAGGAGTTAGGGTTTTGGTTGGGCTTAGTGGGTTAGGTTTCTTTTGGGCTCAGTGGGTTTCATTTGGGCTTAGGGTGTTAGGGAATATGGATGGGTGTTGGGCTTATTTAGTATATTTCGGTTTTTCGGTCGGAATTTCGGAATCTCGGTTTGGTCGAAAGGACCCTGTTTTCCGAACTATCCAGATTTCCCTTCCTATTTCCGAACCGAATAGTAGTATTTTGGTTTTGGTTCGGTCGAGTTCGGTTTCGGTCCGGTTCGGTTTGGGTTTACCGAACCGGATGCCCGCCCCCTACTATATATGCCTCTATTTTCAGAAACGGGTCAGATGTCGAATTGAAAAAGTTAGTTATTTATTAGTCAGTGATTAACGATTATAAAATCGTTGGTTAATATAGTTTATAGAACGCTTATGTACTATAAATTAAAATACATATATAATAAACAAAACACATTTGAATAGTCATAACTTTATGTGATCATCCAGATAACGCTAACAGACGATCCCCACAATATCCCCAGTGTATCTCAACCATGCATCCAATTAGGAATGACAACTTTGCCCATATCCATGGGTTTCTTACTATCCAACCCAATTGGGTTGGGTATGAAATTCAAATAGATGGATATGGGTAGAGTTTGATGGGTTTGTACCCATACCCATTTACTTTGGGTTGAGTTGGGTTTATATCAAATGGATTTGGGTTTGTACCCATACCCAAATACAAATTACATTTTGGTACCCAAACTTAATAGATATGCATATTTAGTACCTAAATTTAATTTTTTTTTGCATATAAGTCCTCAAAATATCAATGGAAAATTACGTTTTGGTACCTAAACTTTTCAAGTTTTACAAATAGATCCAATTTTTGCATGTGTAGTTAAAACACCTTCAAGTAAATGGATATCCATATCCAACCCATACCCATTTTGATTATGGAAGCAATATTCATACATTACCCAAACTCATCTATAAACCTCCAAATCTATATGCACTTCACCCATACCCAACCCATTATCAATGGGTCTACTTGGGTTTGGGTATAATTCCCCATGGGTGGATAATTTGCCATCCCTACATCCAATCCATCCACACCGCCCATCGTCGGCTCCCTCGGCCTCAAGAACCAATCCACGTTCAAGACCCATCGCTCCCTTGTTGTCCTCAAATCTACCTTGCAAATTTCCTCCGATGAATCCCGTTGAGATCTCACCAGATTGATGTCGATTGGTGAAGAGGTATTCCTAATCTCTTTTCAAGTCCTCGATCGTCGATTCACGACAACCTACATCTATGCTATCTTCGCCAGTGCATTGTCTTGCTCATACCCTTGGATCTTCTTCTCACACGACTGGGACAGTGGGATTGGGACTATGAGGAGAGAGCAGTAGTGGATCCAGCCTCGACGAGGACTTGTTTGACTAAGGACTTGGACAAGTAAGAGTTTTTGTCGATGATGATTGGCAGCTTAATAACCATCATGTAATTTAAAAGCCGATTCTATAAAAAAACAACTTTAGGCAAGGTTGATTTTTCCTCAAAGATCCTCAAGTTTCTTTCCTTCCGAAATGCTCCAAACCAAAAGAGTACGTGAAGAAGTACTCGATCTTGAACACCATTTTGCTAGATTTTTCTGTTTTTTGACTTGGCCAACCTGTAATCACATTCGATAAATCCTCCTACATGCTGCTCTCTATCTTGACAAACTTTCCAATGATATCCCGTAATTTCTGTACAAATTTGAAGAGAGGAATATGTGATTAATATCTTCCTAATCTTCCCGCCATAGTTCACAGCGGCTAGGAAGCATCCAACCCCTCCTTTTTAATATGTCTTCGGTGAGAAATCGCTTAAGGAATGTTGTCCACATGAAAAAGCAAAACTTCAAGGGAATCACTTACCGCCAAACCAACTTGAAAGGAAATGTTGCAGGTCCTTGAAACTTCTCTAGCATTCTTTCTTGGGAAAAAAAAAATTCTAAAATACACATGTTTTTTTTAAAAAAATTCCCAAAATACACACGTTATAAAAAAATTTCTCAAAATACACATGTTTGGGCATCACCGCTGTTGTCACCCGCAGTGATTGCATTCACCACGGCAGACCAAAGCGGTGAATGCATCACCGCGGTTGACGGCCGCGGTGAAAATGCCTGACGTAACACTGAAACTTCAAACAAACGTAACTTTGCGCTCAGTTATCCGATTGTAGCGAATTTTTTTTTTATTCCACATAACTTTTCAAGATCTTTCAATCTGCAACAAGCCTTTATCCCAAAAAAATTTTGTTTGCTACCCCGAACGAGCAATTTTTTGATTTTGACAAACTTTAGAATACCATAACTTTGTGCTCCACAATCCGAATGTCATGAAACTTTTTTTGATTTCGCATAACTTTTGAAGTACTACAACTTTTATTATAACCATAATTTTGGAAAGTATGTGGATTTGTGAAAAGTAAAGGCAAAGTTATTGCCAAAATCCCGTATACCCAAAAACATTTCTTTTTTAAAAAATTATTTCCTAGTAAAAGTTGTAGTTCTTAAAAACTTATGCGCAATCAAAAAAACTTTACGACGTTCGGATTGACGAGCTAAAAGTTATGGTCTTCTAAAGTTTTTCAAAATCGAAAAATTGCTCGTTCGGGGTAACAAACGATATTTTTTTGAGATTAAGTCTTTCTGCAGATTGAAAGATCTTGAAAGGTTATATGGAATAAAAAAATCGCTACAATCGGATAACCGAGCTCAAAGTTACGTTTGTTTGAAGTTTCAGTGTTACGTCAGGCATTCACCGCAGCCGTCAACCGCGGTGATGCATTCACCGCTTTGGTCTGCCGCGGTGAATGCATTCACTGCGGTTGACAACAGCGGTGATGCACAAACATGTGTATTTTGGGAATTTTTTTTATAACGTGTGTATTTTGAGAATTTTTTTAAAAAATACATGTATTATGGGATTTCATCCTCTTTCTTGCTTCACCCTCTCTCGCACTAGGTGTGTAAGTTTAACCCTAAAAACCCACTGATTCGTCCCGTCCCTCAGGGTCGGGACGGGTCAGTTTGTCTATAGGATCAGTTTAGGGGCGGGTCAGCTTTTGACCCTATAAAAGTCGGAACGGGTCGGGTCACTTTTTGACCCTGTGAGGCTGTGACCCTTAGCAACAACAAATATCTCATATCACTTTGGACCTCTTTGTAAAAGTTTAAAAGTTTAGGTACTACATTGCAAAAATAAATAAAAATTGGGTACCAAAATATAATTTTACCATCAAATTTTAAGGACTTATTTGTAAAAAATTAAATTTTAGGTACTAAATTCTAAGAAAAAATAATTTTGAGTACCAAAACGTAATTTGTAAAAAGAAGTGTGTAGATTAGGGTCGACCCACTGACCCGACCCGTCCCATCCCTAAAGGGCCAGACAGGGTCAAGAAGGAGACAGAGACGGGACATGTCAGTTCTACATCTTGACCCTTCAGAGACGGAACAGAGACGAGTCAGGACAATTTTCAGTCCTATCTATCACCGATTCACTCCTTAAAGAAAATCTTAAACCAATTTCCCAGGTGATTCTCTCATTATCCATGCGTAGGTTAGCTGTAACTCGATTGTTTGGGGAAGCGGCAGCTGCAAGCACCCCCGAAAAAGCTTCAACAGTTTCTTGTATATTGATGGCTGAGATCCTTGATTCATGAAAAAATTGCAATATCTATTGACTGGAAAAGAAAAAAAATCACTAAAGCAGCTGGTTGAAGAAGAGGTTTGCTTTGCTTGTATACAATTATCCCATATCTACAACAAAGGTTTATGAGAATTTTGGCTTTGTATGTGTAGATGGGAGATCCAATATATGTCATGATCATGTAAGCACAGTACAAACCTATCGAATCAATCAATCACCTTTGTAGTCTACCAATAATTCCCATTATATTATTTCCTTCCACTAAAGTAAACATAACAAATTAATGATAATGCTAATGATGACTCCCCAAAATTCTCATCTTAAACATAATTGTTATATTTATTTTAGAGAAAAAACATAATTGTTATATTCAATCATACAAATGTGTTGTAGTGGCAAACAAAAAGAAGCTAAACCCTAGAAGCCCCCACCCTTTCCCATAATCCCATCCACTGGAAAATATATTATATTATCTTTAATAAATGTTATAATTTCATATTACTATTTTATTGTTATGTGCCATACAACCTGTTTTTGCTTCCCACCATTTCTAATTTAAACTAAACCCCCTTTTTAAATGAAATTGTCCTTGCTAATTATCCTAGCTAGCTCCCTCTCGATTGGAAAACATAATTATGGTGATAGAAACCTAGGCTTACGCGAAACAATCATATCCTTTCCTGTTCAGAAAAGTTAATCACTATAGCACCTACAAACTAGAATCTAGCTAGCTAGCTGATCATAGTAAGGATGCGTGCTCCTGAGTCCTGAGGATTCTCATTCACTTCATTACCTTGATCATATATATTCTCATAAGTTACAACTAATGTACACAAGAATAGAGACAAAAATGCTACTATGCTAGTGGGTCAGAAACGGAAATATAATTAGAAAATATAATTTAATAAACAGAAAATTAATGTTCAGCTTATCTGGCAAGAAAAAATCAGAGATACAAATTATGGTGAAACTAAATGTAGTTTCAATCCTCCACACAGTATTTGGTTTGAGGGTTGTGTCGATCATATGTTGAGAAACTAATGAAAAATTACTGGATAAAGGCTATTAGCTTACCTCCTCTCCCAATGTATTTGGTTCGAGGGTTGTGTCGATCATATGCTGAAAAATTACAGAAAAATTACAGAATTGAGACTGAAAGGAAGATAGTCACTGGTCAATCAGTTTGGTGAATCAATTTTATATCGTTACACCAATTTAGCAAGTAATATGGTTCGACCAAGAACGACTAGTATATATCGGTTTTAACAAAATATGTAGGAAAGTTGAGAAACTAGTAATAACATGCAGATTATATATATCATATCTCAAGACAAACTCCTTACAATCTAAATACATATTGAAAGAAAGTAGGCAAATTCTCATATTTCTCATATTTAAATAAGATATTTGACGTCGACATCCAAACATTTATACTTGAATCCAATAAATAATATCATTCATATTTAAATAAAATACAACATTACAAACAATGACAAATCATCATATTCAAATACACGAGTGCTTTTGTTCTTAAATTCATCATAATAATGTCATTTTGTTTATGGATCATAATAAATTGGTCATATACCAGCTCGATTCCACCACTTATGTTTTTTCGATTTGCTGTCGATTTGTGTCTGATACCGGTTGAACCCAGTTGTACCGACCGACATGCCACCAATTTAACAACCATGTTGGTTAACTAGGTCACTAATCATTTATACCTAAGCGTGAAAGAGCCATAAAACTTTAATTATATTAAACACTGCTATTTCTTTTCCAACACCCAGGTACACCTGAATGGGCTTAGAAAGCGTCACAACCCCATAGGGGTTGTGATTTTCGCTTCTTCCTTCGCAGCCATTAGATCAACTCTCTCTCTTGGTTTTTCAAATTAACGGTTTAGATTAAATGAAGGGTATTTTTGGAAGAGAAAAACTTACCACACATGATTCTTTCTCATTTTCTATATAATCTGATTTCCTAAAAAAAAACTCTTCCTCTCTCCCCTCTCTCTTACCTCTCCCGAGAACCCTAACTGCTCTCTGTCTCTCCCTCCCGTTGCCACCGCCGCCATCTCTCCCTCCCGCTGCCACCATCCCCCCTCCCGCCGCAGATGTCGCGTCTTCCGCCTCCCACCACTGTTGCGCCATAACGCTCTCCTCGTCGCAGCCCTCTCGCCTCCCTCCAACTCCTGTCACCGCCATCTCTCTCCCGCTGTCCTCCTCTACCGCCGCCGCGAGGTAACGACCTCTCCCCTTCCTTCTCCTTTCCTCATTCCTTAATTTTTTTCCTGATCTGGGATTTTCCAGATTCTAAATCTTGTTTTTTTATGTTATTCTTTAGTGGTACTGATTTTTGTCTAGTGGTACGCTACCAGTGGTAGTGGTAGCGTACCCGTACTCAGTGGTAGCGGTATCAGAGACTTTTTCCAGAAATACCACTGTTTAAATTTTTTTTTTCCAAAAATACCATCCAACCCCAAAAAGTACCAGTGATAGTGGTAGCGTACCAGTGGCAGTGGTAGCGTTAATCACTGGTAGCGGTACCAGTGGTATTTTTAGCGTACCACTACCACTAGTACGTACCACTACTATTGGTAGCGTACCATTAAATGAAAATTAGTACCACTAGCGCACTGACGGAGTAGTTTTTTTGCAGATGGCCGGAGCAAGTCTGATTGGAGGATTTCACCGGAAAAAAGTCCTCTGCTGGAGAAAGTTTGGCGGTCGGAGTGAAGAGGTTGCTGGAAAAGAAAGAGAGAGAGAGATAAGCGTATTAATTGTAGGATTTAAATTAAAAAAAAGTATTTAATCTGAATTTTTAATTTCCAATCTGTAATTAATATAAAAATAAATAAATAATAAATTCTGTTTTTTTATTTTCATACCCAAATTTCCTTTGAATGTGAATCTCACATAGAGGAAGTGACGGTAACTCATCCCTGCCTCAATGATGCCTAGACGGCCCAAGTATTAGTCGGGACTCCAACACCCACCCTTTACCCCTATCACCCTCTTGAACCCTAACTACACTAATTACCAAAGAGGAAAAATACTCAAGCTAGGAGGAAACTAGGAGTGTTACCTACTCATGAGGTATAGCCTAAAGTCCTAACTCCCATTATTAGAACCACTAATCATAATTAACACAAAATAGTACTAGTAATAATTAACAATAATCTGGCGGATCATCGATCAGCCCCACAAAACATGAGTCAGTGCTTGGGGGGAAAAGCAGATTGGGAGAACGTGAAGAGACTTGAAGGTATGGGCAAAGGAATTGAAGGGCCCTTCTTGCTTACCTTTTTCTTTTTAATAGCTTACCTTTCTCTCCTTTTGTTCTTCTTCCTGATCTCAAAATTTAAAGGGGAAAAAAAAACAACCTTTCTTTTTTTGGGCTGTCTTTCTTCCCCACACGACGCCCTTTCCCTTGTTGCTGCTTCGTGCAATAATAACAACAATATCCGCCATCATCACCTTTTGCTGTGCCATGGCCATGGGCGCGCCTAAGCTTCGCTATCTTCCAAGATCCAATTTACTAGAAAGGTGTTGTTTCCAAACCCTAGAGATTCACCACCGTAAAAGAGATGGTAACTCATTAAAGTATACATATACGTAGATGGTTTTAAACATTGGACCAACATTTAACTATGCGCATGCAGAACACATTCAGGAAACATTAGGGTCAGAAGAGATTGTTGGGAAGGAAAGTATGTATAATATTCCATGCCAACAGGCCCATAAAGCCTAAGAGGTAGGAACCCTCTTGGCCCAAGTCCCCACACATCCTCCTCGAAGGCGAATACCCTCTGTGACTGTACGTAGTAGCAATCTTGGTCGGTACTCGGTAGTCTGGTTAATCGGCAAGACCAACATGGCGATGTACGCACTAACAATATACGCGATAAATGTTGTTTCGGAAAATAACACGAGATATAAATTTGGTTCCTATGATCTATGTGATGTTGCTGGTTTAGTTGTATAAATTATCCATGTAAGTTTTTGTTGTTCTTTAGTTATGTGGGATATATAGGGGGTTCCGGAGATAGATAGGTTGATGTAAAAGGTTGGTGCACTCAGTGGCAGCTTGGTCTGCAAGATAGTATGAGTATTTTCCTCATTTTATTCATAATATAAAAAAATAACACGAGATATAACAGACCATGCGCGTTTATTACTACATATATAAACGAGTAAATATCATAAGTTCATATCCACTAGGTTGAATATCTCCCTTTGTTCCTCTGGTAAAGGATAATTGTTCATGGTCACTTAGCTTTAACCTCAGTGTCAAACCACACTATACCCACCATTTGAGGGCGACCCATCGAATTTGGCGAGTCCAAGTGATGACGATCGAAGTGATTAATAATTGTTTGGAAAAAGAGCAAAATCCTTTTGGCAACATAAAAACTATAGCTGGCGGCTTAGTGGGAAGCTGAGGTAATAGAGAGAGCTTCTTCATATTCATTCGTGCACACATTGGACAAGTGCATAATTAGAGAAATTAAAAGCAACCAATTCCATAGAGAAATTAATATATTTGGCCCCTACAAGTAGCTCAAAGAACGGGGATTCTGTCTCTTTCTCCCCCTCCACAATTTTTATCATTTATGTCGAAAATTAGATGGAGAAAAGTAGCTCTAATAAATTCAAAAGTAATTCCTCTCTACCACTTGATTGATCATGATGGGGGAAAATCAACTTCCTTTTTGGTTTAAAGACAAACAAATTAGCTATTGATAGATAGAGGCACTAAGAGAGGATAAGATCATTGGATGAGGGGGTTGATTGATGATGAGTGAATTCGTGTTTACAAAGGAACTTTGCACTCGAATATATAGTTAAGATGAGTTCAAAATCTTGATACCTATGCTATAAAAATGTGAAAGGGTGACTCTAAAGAAAATTTGGTTGGACGGAGAATTCAAATATGAGACCTCGTCATGGCTGAGTTCAACACCTGAATGATCATTTGGGCTACAATTTTTGTTGGAGGCTTCTTGAAATTAATCCAAAATTTAGGGTTCAATTATTATGCTTAGTGATGATTTGGGAGTGTGTTGATGATGTTTGGTTGTATAGTAAAGCCTAGCTATCTAGATATTGATTAGGATCAATATTGCTTTGCTCCATGGTTATTTAGGAATAATATATGTATAGGAGTACTCTGAAAAGTAAATTTGATATCATTGATGACTTTAGGGGTCCATCACAATCATAAATGGAGAGAACATCCATTTTGTTTATTATATTTTCCCCCCTAAAAAGTTTTTTACATTCACAAGACGGTCAACTATGGAGTCAAAACATTCCATGACCAATTTGATGCCACTAACCTTGCAGATATTTTTATTGATATAAAGCTTAACGTTATAATTCCCTCGCTGAAAGGGAAGAATTTGGCGAGAGTAAATGGAAAAGGACATACCTACATTTGTTTCATTCTTGCCCATTTGTTTGTTGAGAAATTTTACAATGCTATATAGGATTTTACTTTTAAAGTACAATTTAAAATTGTACATTTACGTTATGGTACAACTTCAGATTGTACCTATATTTTTTATACAAATTCTTTTATGGTACAACTTGACCTTGTACCTTTATGTGATGGTACAACTTCAAGTTGTAAAGTTGTACCATAACATACAAATTGCTTTATGGTACAACTTAAACTTATACATTTAATGTTATGGTACAACTTTAAATTGTACATTAAAGTACCAATACTATATAGCATAGTAGAAGGGCTCTTGTTTGTCTTGTAAGAACATAGCTAGCTAGGTAATAGAAAGGACAGCGAAAGATAATTAATTTTTGTATTAGGGTATAAACAACATGAAATTATTTTGTTGGATATAGTGGAAAATAAGGTTTACAAACCCTATAAAATAACTTAGGACAAGGAGGAAAGTTTCATCACCCCTATGATACTTGGGTCTATGATTTAGAAGTATTAACTAACTGCAGTTTCAGTAGATTAGATAGAACATTTGACACTTTTATCTACAAAAAAAAAAAAAACTTCATGAATAAGATGTTAGTTATTATTGATGGGTAAGATAATTTCCAATTGAAAGCACTCTCTTTAATTTGTATTTTTGGTCATACATTCTCTCTCTAACTTAATCTTTACATTATTATACGTTAGCAAAAAAATAATAGAAGTATGCTACTCACAATCCACCCCACATGCAGTGGGTAGTGGTTAACCACTATCTGCTGCTGGTTGGTGCAGGTTGGTTGTGGACACAAAATTTTCACATTAAATATAATAATATGATAATTAAATTATGATGTTGTGTTTCTTCTCACACAAAAACAAATACATACATAGGGCATTCGCATCCAATAGGGGTGCATGTGATGAATAGACCGACCACTTCTTTGCTGTACTGGCTGTACTTTGATCGGGTGGGGATTGAAACCCCTCGCTTTACTCGCACGTAATGAAGGTTAGGGCGCCCTTTGCGCCCTGTTTTTACCAAAAAAAAAAAACAAATACATACATTAAAGAAAGCTAATAAAGTGTTAAATAAATTGTAAATCTCGAATACAATAGTTTAGTTAGTGTAAATTCAGAAGAGATGGATTTGGAAAGAGATTTGAAGATAACGGAGAGGCGGAGTGACCTGTTACCAGACAAACATCGTTGCATGTCACGGCTCCTCCGATGGCAATAACAGCAAAACACAAAAGTGGCTCGATAAGTGGAGGCGCCCGCTTTTAATAAATCGATTATTCTTCACTCTCGATTATAGTATTGTATTGTTGGTAGCTGGTTGCATGTTGTGTTGTTCGTGAGTTTGTGGAAAAATAGAGACGAGATTGGGTATCTGGCAAACCTTTATCGATTATTCCCCTTTTTTAACGAATCGATTAGTGTTGGGTTGGTCCAACTCATATGGTGGTTGGATTAACCGGTTTGAGTTTGAGTTTTTTGTTGGTTTCTAGAAGATCCTCTATTTTCAAAATAGAGAGTTATTGTCTACTTAAAAGTAAAGAGTGGTGACAACCTTTCATCTTCCTAGAGAGAGAGAATCAGAAAAGAGAAGAGATAAGGAAAAGAGAGAAGAGAGAAAGAGCTGCTGTTTTTCGTTTCTGCAGCAGGGCAGCCTGTTCAAGTGAGCGTTCTGGAAGACTGAACCGTTGGATTGTCTTGAAATTTGGGCAGTGAGTTTGCAATTGTCTGGGCTTCATTCTGACCGAAGGGATCGTCATTCTGAGGTCTAGTTAGTCGGGAATCTCTGCTGGACAGAAGGTGTACGAATCTGTTTTTGGGTATCTCTCAACCTTTCTTTGTCTTGCTCTTGTTCTTGTTATCCACCATGTTGTTGAGAGCTATTGTGGTTGATTGTTGATCCAAGAAGGGTGTTCTTGAGGTGTTTGTAATCCTCTAGCTAGTCTAGAGAGGACTTGTAATCCCACCAAAGTCTAGTGGAGTTGTGGCTTGGACAAAAGTCCCGTGGTTTTTCCCGATTTGGGTTTTCCACGTAAAAATCGTGTGTCTTGTGCATTCTATTCTTGCTTGTGGTTGCTGCCCGGTTTCTCAACAGTGGTATAAGAGCATTAGGTTGTTTGGGGGCTGTGTTTGGTGAATGGCAAGAATGGATGACTCAAGTGGAGCAATGATTAAGTTGACATCATCCAACTACTCTATTTGGAAGCCACGGATGGAGGATATTCTGTTTTGCAAGGATCTTTATGGAAGAAGCAGAAATCAAAATTCCAAATTCAAGAACTCTCAGAATTAAAGTAACAGCCGAGGGAGATCAAAAGGGAGATCAAAATCATTGTCAAGACCAAGAGGAGAAATCACATGTTATCATTGCAACCAGCCCAGACACATGAAGAGAGACTGCAGAATCTTGAAACGGGAACAAGCTAGAGGAAAAGGTGTGGAAAACCGAGAAAAAGATGATACTGCTGCTGCTGCCACAGATGGTGATGTGGTCATTGTTTGTGATGTCGGTTTTGTTAACCTTGCTTGTCAAGAGAGTACATGGGTTGTTGACTCAGGTGCCTCATTCCATGTGACCTCACGGGTTGATTTTTTCTCTTCCTACACAAACGGTAATATGGTTGTGTGAGGATGGGAAATGATGGCGCATCAAAGATTGTTGGCATGGGTGATATTCATCTAGAGACCAACACGGGTTGCAAGCTAGTCTTGAAGGATGTGAGACATGTTCCTGACATGAGGCTGAATTTGATATCCACGGGTAAGCTTGATGATGATGGTTATACCAACTATTTTGGAGAAGGAAAATGGAAGCTCTCAAGAGGTTCTCTTGTGGTGGCTAAAGGCAAGAAGGAAAGTACGCTCTACATGACGAATGCAAAGCATAGCAAGGGAGGAATTAATGTTGTTGAGAAATATTCTTCCATTGAGCTTTGGCATAAGAGACTCGGTCATTTGAGCGAGAAGGGGCTGCAAATATTTTCCAAGAAACAACTCTTGCCCGGAGCTAAAGGTACTCTTCTTAAAACTTGTGTTCATTGCTTAGCCGGAAAAACTCATAGAGTTGCATTTCATAGATTTCCACCTTCTAGAAGGAGTAAGGTACTTGATCTAATTCACACCGATGTTTGTTTTATGCGAGATAAAACTCTTGGTGGTGCAAGCTATTATGTTACCTTCATCGATGATCACTCAAGGAAGGTGTGGACATATGCTTTGAAAACGAAGGATCAAGTGCTAGATGTTTTCAAGCAATTTCATGCTGAAGTGGAAAGGGAAACCGGCCTGAAGTTGAAGTGTGTAAGGGCTGATAACGGGGGAGAGTATAGAGGTCCATTCGAAAGCTACTGCAGATTGCACGGAATTAAACTACAGAAAAGTGTACCCAAGACTCCACAACAAAACGGTGTCGCCGAGAGGATGAATAGAACAATTTGTGAGAGAATCAAGTGTATGCTCTCACATGCCAAGCTACCTAAATCATATTGGGGAGAAGCAATGCGGACAGCGGTTGATCTAATCAATCTCTCACCATCGGTCCCTTTGGAGGGTGACGTGCCTCAACGAGTATGGACGGGAAAGGAAGTCTCATATGAACACTTGCGAGTGTTCGGTTGCAAAGCCTATGTTCATGTTCCAAAAGATGAGAGAGCAAAGCTTGATGACAAAGCAAAGCCATGTATATTCATGGGCTATGGGCGTGAAGAGTTTGGGTACAGATTATGGGATCCAATTGCAAGGAAAATTGTTCGGAGCCGGGATGTGATTTTTCTTGAAGATGAGACAACTGAAGATGTCGAAAGGGGTGAAAAGAAGAAAAATACAGCAACTGGTCCGGTTAATTTGGAGCCTATATCTTCATCCCAAATGCATGAAAATGTTGAGGAAGTAGTGCATGATGAGCCCCAAGGTCCACTAGATCAAGAAGTGCAAGGAGAAGAGCAATTGGAGCAAGAAGAACAAGTTGAAGAAGAGCAACCTCTATCCGAACCAAGAAAGTCAACAAGAGATCGCAAAGCTTCCACTTGGTACTCCCCTCATGAGTACCTATTGTTGACTGACGGCGGAGAACCCGAATATTATCAAGAAGCCATGTCTCATGAAGACAAGGAGGAGTGGAACAAAGCAATGCAAGAAGAGATGAAGTCTTTGCAAGAGAATCACACCTATGATTTGATGAAACTACTCAAAGGAAAAAGATCACTTAAGAACAAGTGGGTCTACAAGTTAAAGACGGAGGAAACTAGTTCAAAGCCTCGGTTTAGGGCGCGGCTAGTTGTGAAGGGTTTCAACCAAAAGAAAGGTGTTGACTTTGAAGAAATTTTCTCTCCCGTGGTGAAGATGTCTTCTATCCGAGTTGTGCTTGGGTTGGCTGCAAGTTTGGATTTAGAAGTTGAACAACTCGATGTGAAGACGTCGTTTCTTCATGGTGACTTAGAGGAAGAGATATACATGGATCAGCCGGAAGGGTTCGAGGTTAAAGGCAAAGAAGATCTTGTATGCAGATTGAGAAAGAGCTTATATGGGTTGAAGCAAGCACCAAGGCAATGGTACAAGAAATTTGACTCATTCATGGTCAAAAACGGGTATGCAAGAACTACCTCCGATCATTGTGTGTTTGTGAAATACTTTGCTGAAAATGATTTCATCATTCTCTTGCTTTACGTGGATGACATGTTGATCGTGGGTCGGAATGTTGGAGAGATTGGTAGATTGAAAAAGGAGTTGAGTAAATCCTTTGCCATGAAGGACTTAGGACCGGCGAAACAAATTCTAGGGATGAGAATCTCTAGGGATCGAAGGAATGGGAAAATTTGGTTATCTCAAGAAAGGTATATTGAAAGAGTTCTTGAGCGGTTTAACATGAGCAAGGCTAAGGTGGTTAGTACTCCGCTTGGAGGACATTTCAAGTTGAGTGTGAAGCATTGTCCTACAAGTGATGAAGAGAAAGAAGCAATGAATAATGTGCCTTATGCATCAGTTGTTGGAAGCTTGATGTATGCCATGGTTTGCACAAGGCCGGATATTGCTCACGCCGTTGGGATTGTTAGTCGGTTTCTTTCCAATCCGGGGAAAGAACATTGGAGAGCATTGAAGTGGATTCTTCGCTACTTGAGAGGTACTTCTAGAGTGTGTCTATGCTTTGGTAATGGCAAGACCATACTTGATGGATATACCGATGCTAACATGGCAGGTGATGTGGACTCTAGAAAGTCGACTTCTGGATACATGATGACTTTTGCAGGTGCTGCAGTTTCATGGCAATCTAAACTGCAAAAATGTGTTGCATTATCAACAACAGAAGCCGAATACATAGCCGTGACAGAAGCTTGCAAAGAGATGTTATGGTTGAAGAAGTTTCTTCAAGAGTTGGGCATTAAGCAAGAGAGGTATGTGCTCTATTGTGATAGTCAAAGTGCAATTCATCTTTGCAAGAATCCAACTTTCCACTCAAGGTCGAAACACATAGATGTTCGATATCATTGGATTCGTGATGTTTTGGAGGAGAAGTTGTTGAGCTCAACAAAGTGCATACGGATGACAATGGTTCGGACATGATGACTAAGTCTCTACCAAGTAGAAAACATATCTTCTGTCGAGATGAAGCAGGTTTGGTGCTACCCCCCATATGAGCTGGAGGGGGAGATTTGTTGGGTTGGTCCAACTCATATGGTGGTTGGATTAACCGGTTTGAGTTTGAGTTTTTGGTTGGTTTCTAGAAGATCCTCTATTTTCAAAATAGAGAGTTATTGTCTACTTAAAAGTAAAAAGTGGTGACAGCCTTTCATCTTCCTAGAGAGAGAGAGAATAAAAAAAGAGAAGAGATAAGGAAAAGAGAGAAGAGAGAAAGAGCTGTTGTTTTTCGTTTCTGCAGCAGGGCAGTCTGTTCAAGTGAGCGTTCTGGAAGACTGAACCGTTGGATCGTCCTGAAATTTGGGCAGTGAGTTTGCAATTGTCTAGGCTTCATTTTGACTGAAGGGATCGTCATTATGAGGTCTAGTTAGTCGGGAATCTCTGCTGGACAGAAGGTGTACGAATATGTTTTTGGGTATCTCTCAACCTTTCTGTTTGTAATCCTCTAGCTAGTCTAGAGAGGACTTGTAATCCCACCAAAGTCTAGTGGAGTTGTGGCTTGGACAAAGGTCCCGTAGTTTTTCCCGATTTGGGTTTTCCACGTAAAAATCGTGTGTCTTGTGCATTCTATTCTTGCTTGTGGTTGCGGCCCGGTTTCTCAACAATTAGTTTATCAGACTATATCTATGGACTTGGTTTTGTTATAAAATAAACATATACCACACAGACAATGCTTATTTGATAAAAGTATCTCACATGAACATTGCTTATTGACTTGGTTTTGTTGTATAGAATAAGTGTGTATTTGAATTTGGTAGCTACTTTAGTTATTAGTCTTCCAAGTTTCACAAACTAATATAACTAATGTGGTTAATGTGGGTTGCAAAGTATTGAAGAAATAAATATAACTAATGTGATTAATGTGGATTTTGTGGGTAAACTGTTGTGGGGAGTGGCTAACCACTAACCACAAAAATCAATATTTCGCTATCAACAACCAACACACTATCCACAAATTGTGGGTATGGGTATCCACAAAGTGTGCACTTTTATGCGGTTTTCGGATTATCCGCAAACCAAACTTCCACCCTTAGTTGCATGTACACTTTTCCATGTCTCTAATTTTCAACTATCTATGATAATATCCCTACAAATTGATAGGCTTTTGGGCTTTCCTGGTATTGGACTTTTCATAGGGATTGTCAAGGGGAAAAAATGAAGAAATACAAGAATTGAAAGGAAATAATTTGGGATCCATATTAACACAAACCCAGCCCAAAATTTACCAATTACGAAGAAGCCCACAAGCAGGCCCAATCGGCTATAGAATTAGGCAACAATAACTATTATTTTAGTTTATATATATTAAGAAATAGTTAATTGGGGGTCCATATTAACACAAACCCAGCCCAAAATTCACTAATACCAAGAAGCCCATAAGCAGGCCCAATCAGCTATAGAATTAGACAACAGTAATCATGATTTTAGTTTATATATATATAAATGATATGAATGTTAGGCGCAAACATGATCTTCAACGACAGAAACAATATAAGCCTACATCACCTAGCTACCCACAAATAATATCTATTCAACCTCAAACAAGAACCAACATTCACTTTAAGGAGGGAAAGTTGTTTGGTAGGTGTCACATTCAAATATGTAAGGCAGATATGTACGGTGCCTTCTTCCTTTCCTCAGTTGAATCAACAACATAAAATATAAATTTAGGGTCAAACGAAACTAAGAACAAGAGTACAAGACCATTTGGCTTTCGCAAAAGACCCCTTGCAAAAGGAAGGGTGGTCTAAAGTAGCAAGAAATGTTTTTAAGAGAAGGGGTTCTCGTGTCCTAACAATAAGACAATATGGCTTTGCAAACCGTAGAATATATGCTTTTCAACCCCTAAAATACACCAAAGTTGGGTGGGTCATGTCCCTGTTTTCCTTTTTATCTAGGCTAGAATTGCGCTTTGTCGCGAAATGGTCACCTATTATGTTGTTATGGTTGTTCGTTCGGTATTTTATTCTTTTCGCTATGAGTATTTGTAATTATAGTTTTTTATTCTTTCCTTTCAATTTTCCTTTGGTTGCTCATCTCTCTCATTCCTGCTATTTTATCTTTTGTGATGATTGTCTCTCTACCAAACTGAATACCACCAGCAAAACAAATTATTGATTTCAGTTATGCTTTATGTTTTTGTTCCTTGTTGCACGCCAATCTGTGTTTTGGACATCGCCAATGCGAGATGCTTGAGGAGAAAAATAAATTGAGATGCTTTTGCATAGAGAACAATAGACGAAAGGCGAATGATGACATGGATGTTGATGACCAACCAGGTTGCAAAGTTTAGTCCCATCAGGTAGAGATGACAAAAATAACCACACACTAATACCCACACCAATCCAACGTAATTGGGTGGGGAACCCTATTCCGAAATAACTTTTAATGGAATGCGTAAAAACCTAACCCGAATATTGAGGATGGATGTGCATGGTTATCTCACTATCCAAATCGAACACACTCGGTTATACAAATGCGTATGTATCTTGTTTACAAATTATCAATGTTTTTCTCAACAAATTTGATATTTATCATACATATATAATATTTCCAGGAAATTTTATTTTTTAACTTATTTTCTTCATTTTAGTAATTTATAGTTGTAATTTGTCAGTTATGTAATGCCAGTATATGTGTAATTGTTAACATGTTGGTTGAAGTTATAACATAAAAATTAATATACATAGATTACCATGATACTCAATCGAGTATGTATATGATTTTGATATTCTACATGATTCTTGTACGGGAATAGGTATGAAAAAAATTCGAACTATTTTAGATCGGATAATAATGGATATGCACTGTCCGGTCTCGACCGACCTGTTGCTATTCGTACCAACAAGAGACAATGAACCCCAACAAACCAAACCAATGGACATAAATCATGAGCCCAATAATTAGGCCCTATGTGTTTACCTCTCTTATTGAACAGTAAGAGATATATATCGACTATCTGTAGGGGCGGAGCTAGAATGTTACAGAGTGGGCCTTGCTCGGGAGGAAAATTGATAAATTAGGTATAGTAATTAATTGAGAATCAAAATTAGAGCACATATAATTGAATAAGGTTGACTTTACAAATGCTTTATGTATAAATTTAAATATTTTTGATTGACATACTCTAAAATTTCTAATGATTTATGTACAAATAACAATGATTCATATGATCCACTGAAAATCAAAGGTGTACTTATGTAATAGGAAAAATACACTTGTATAGTCATAACTTTCACATTTGTGATAAATACAACCATAACTATTCGAAAACACAAAATAGCCAATTCCGTCCATTTTGTTAACGACGTAAGTTGACAATGACGGAAGACGCTGAGTTGCTGAGTGAGTTATCCCACCAAACGACGTGGAATTATGAAAAACGAAAATTAAAATCACAAAAGCAGAAAGCGACTCAGCTGACCACCATTCGTCCTTCCTTTCTTCATTTTTATTTTCTTTCCCCCTTCGTCTCTCGTCCTCCGACCACGACGAACGACGAGCATTCAATCCCTCCCCTGGCTCCGATCTACCTACGATAACCACATTCCTCTTCCGACCGACGCCCTGAATCCCAATCCCTATCCCCACCCCAAAACCGTCATCGAAACATTAGCTCCCGACTCATCGTCTCCCTTCCAATGACGAACTTTGGCATGCATCCGGCGTAATAGACCGACAGACACTATTTTCCGATGAAACCCAAGCACCCTGATAATGAAGAAAGCACCGTCGAAGCCTAGGAAAGTCTTGTTTTGTCATTTCTGGAAAACCCTAATTGCACTGTAGAAGCGCGATTTCTAGAGGGACGATTCTGACGCGATTGGTGAGTTGTCAAGGGAGAGGTTGGGGTTTCAATTCTGGGTTGGAGGTACTTATAGGCTGCTTTTTATATCCTTTTTGTCTCTTTTTGTAGTTTTGGCTTGTTGTAAAGGAAGGAAAGGGACCACTGCAAATTGAAATTGTTCTTTTCGCGAGTTTGCCCCTCAATCCGACGGTGAATGGCTCCAATTCCTGAGTAGAATAGTCATTGCATCCTTGGTTTCTCAAAACCGTAGCATAGAATAATAGTGGAAGAGTGTGCTCCTCATTTTTTGTTAGTCAATAAAAACTGTTTATATGTTAGGTTATGACTTAATTAAAGGTTTATCTTGTTTATCTTCAAATGACTGATTCATTTGACGAGCAAGCTGGTGAGAATGAACCTAATCAAGTGGCAGAAGAGAAGGATAGCTTTTCTAGCTTTACTTCTAAAGATGAAGCTGCTTTTGTGGCATGATAAGTTTTCCATGTTTATCTCTAACGATGCAGACATGTCGAATGAGGAGTACCATGAGGCTCGAGCCAATCTACGAGCCTATGGTTAAATAAGAAGGAGGAAGGTAAAGGCAAGGGCTGATGATCATGGGGAGGAGGTTGAACAACTAGACGAGTTTGAAGAAGATGAATATGAGGATGAAACAGATGATGAGATTGCAGTGGAATTCAAAAATGGTGATGTATTGGAAGAAAATGTGAATTCCATACCCGAGAAAGCAGCTGAAAATGTGAATGCCATACCCGAGCAAGAAGCTGAAGATAATGGAGCACCTCCAACTTAGGAACCAAAAAGAGTCTTCTCAACATTCCAACTACAGACTATCAGAGGATTCAGACAATGTTAGAGGCAATCTTTCTGATGAGGGTGGTGGAGAGCCATTTTGGGATGCTCCACATTACAATCTTGTTTGTGATCAAAAGCAGTATCGGTTTATTCCACGGTTGAAGTTTGAAAGTCCTGAACAGTTCAAGAGTGTTGTTGTGTTGCATTTTGTGGCAAATGGTGCTAGCTTGAGATGGGTTTGGAGTACCTCATCAAGAAAATAAGTAAAATGCAAGGATCCTAGATGTAAATGGAGGGTGTTAGCTAGCTGGTTTAGGAAGAACCAGAGTTTCATGGTAAGGAAGGTAGTTCTGCCCCATGCTTGTTCATGTAAGCTGCGGGTCAATCAGGTTACTGCAAATTGGATTGCATAGAGGTTTCGCATCAATCCACAGTGGGCTCCAGATCAGATTATGGCAGAAGTGAAGCTGAATCACAACATGGAAGTGGATAAAAGAACCTGTTATAGAGCAAAGGTGGCATCTATTCTAATATTGAGTGGGTCTTTGAAGGCTGAGTTTCAGAACATCAAGAGTTGGGTAGGTGAGATGGTGAAGAGGGATCGACATGGGAGATTTTTTTTGGAGGTTCAACCACACCCTACTGAAGACAAAGTTTATTTCTAGAGGATGTATGTTGGGTTTTCTAACCCGAGGGACGGATCTATTGATGCATGTCGGCTAATGTTTGACTTGGACGGGTGCTTCTTGAAGGGAGAGGTGAAAGGGATGCTACTCACTGCTGTAGGGAACTATGGAAACAACCAGATGAATCCACTTGCTTGGGTTGTTGTAGAGAGTGAGAATGCATATTCATGGAGGTGGTTCATCAACATTTTGTCTCAAGAGCTGAATATGTTAGATGGAAGGGGTTGGAGTGTTATCTATGATCAACAGAAAGTAAGTTCCCATCTTGATTTTTAACTCTATTTACAGATTATTGTATGGTTTATAATAGTGTTAATTCTGATATTATGATTTTGTGACTCTATGTTAAGGTTCTGGTTGATGCTCTACGTGA